CAAGCATGGGGGGCCGGCCAGTAAACCTGTCTGTTCGTTTTGATGGGTGCAGCAGGTGCACCAAGCCGTACGCAGTCACACACACACACACACACACACACACACACACACACACACACACTATAAAAACAAAACTGTGGAGAAACGACGCCTGGCCCGGGTTGGAACAACACACCAGCACGACACATAGCCCGAAAAATCAGCTGCACACACATACCACCATACAGCCATAATCTGGAGCTTGGAATGCTAATACCCATGTGGTTACTTGACACGGTGCAAAGCAACAAGGGGGAGGTTTGGGTTGGGACCCTACATTCAGTTCTCCAGGGGGCAAATTAAAGACATCAGTCAAGTACTGCTGAGTTTTGACACCTGTGAGTGTGCCTCCTCTTCTGGGTAGTTTGGTAAAAATAATGATTCACAATGACTTTACTAAACCGGCTGCCAAACTATGAAATCCACCCGGTACTCTGACTGACATAGTAGAAAGTACTAAGTGCTGCTGTCCTCTGTTATTCTGCTCTGACTATTTGTCCAGGTTTCTGCAGCAATATGATTCTTTTGGGCATGATGCACTTTGCAAATGAAGTTATTCAGATCTGAGTGCGAGCCAAAGTAATTCTGCTTCAATATACTATGCAAATTGGATTACACAAATTCTTAATATTTTTTTTTTTGTAAACAATGAAACTGACAGAAACCAAACTTACCAGCTTTCTTTTTCAAGTCCAGATCAGGTGTGAAGCTACTTCTGTGCATTTAAATCTCTTGTTATAATTCAGTAAAGGGATGTTTAATTACCCAAGTTATTAATTGTTTTTTACAATTAAGTCACAGGTAAATTGGTTTGTCACAAAAGTAAATTAAACAGCTTAACATAATGGGCAGACATCTTTTTATCTACTAACAGTAGCAATTACCATAAAATCGTGCAATTCAACACAAATCTATGCCAAAAATAATGTGGAGTTGTCACTCCCTTCTGACCTAATATATACCATAGCATGCATGAGTTTAAACAAGGAAAGAGAAAACAATACTTACAACGCTTTAGCTCCAATAATAAGGGACTAGGGAGAGAAATGCTTCACAGGTGAAGTCCATTTATCCTGACAGTAGAATTCATATGAAACTACCAAGGGGTCTCACTAGTTCCTTATTCAGAGAAAAGCAGATGCTGAGGAGGCAGGAGGCGCAGGTGTGACCAGGTAAACCCAAACAGAAGGATCCAAAGTCATCCACCATGAAGCAGGTCCAACCTCAGCAGCCGACAAATATAGCCTGGTGCTTTCCCACTAGCTCTGCTGCACCGGGCCAAATAAATCAGTCCAGGAACAGCCGAGCAAAAGAGAAAGAAGGGAGAGGGAGAGCGGGGTATGCAGGAGAGGGAGAGGGATGAAGCTAAGAAAAAACACACGGCACAAAGAGGGTGCTAGAACAGACTGACACGCCTACAATGAGTGGAGCTTCAAACTATTCCAAAAGTCAAAACTGTGGTTCTTAAAATGTCCCATTCTTGTAACACAGGTTCGAGACCCCGGTCTGATAGTTTAGACTGAGTGGCGACACAACACTGCTTCTAAGGGGTTTGGGGAGTGCGGGCCAAAATCGGTGTGGTAACCTCATCCCACAGCAACCATGTATGGGCTGAAGAGAGCGGCCTCGATAGAGGGGCATCTGCCATAAATAGCCAGGCAGCGTAGGGCTCCAAGCACAGGGGGATCGAATCAGCTGTTAAACCACAATCCAGCAGCAGTGTGATCCAGGCTCTGCAGGGGCTCCTGTACTACAGCACAGAGCTGGAATAAACTTCACTTTGCTTTGGTTTATCTACATATCACATTATATGTGTTATATTTACATCTGTGTTCATTTCACCAGAACAATTAATTAGTTATTAAAGAGTAGGATACATTTAAATGTATGATTCACCTGTTTTATAAACATACAGAGCATTGTAGGGTTTTTAAAGGCTACAACTAAAAGATCATTTTATTTAAAGAAATGTATGCAGTATCTCCACTTACGATTAATGCATTATGATTACGATCCTTTCTAAAGTACTCACTACAGGACAGCGGTTGAGATGCACAAAACAGGATCTCTTCTGCACTGTTCATGTCGGGTTGCTCACCTACACAAACACACACGAACGACACAGTGTAAATGTTTATGAAAAGCAATGCAACTTTTGTTATTCTCCAAAAATGGAAATGTGAGCGGAGCAAGGAAACAGTGTTTTTGAACGTTATTTTCCAATGTGTCTTACAAAAAGACAAAAAAAAAGAAAATAATTTGAAGAGGAAGGCAATAAAGTCAGCAAACCCCTTCTCAAGAATAACCTGTTCGGACGTTAATTTTAACCTGCATATGTGTGAAAATGACCATGTGTGCTGTATATAAATGGGCTAAAATCAACAGGTAAAAGTATTCTCTGTCTTCGCATCTTGTAGTGGAAAGGAAGGAGGGTCGGTCCAGGGTTTTTGGTATTTTTTGGTACTGTAATATTACAGTTTGGCTCCATCTTGTGGACATAATAAGTGTACAACAGTATATGCAGTCCATTAAGTCTCTATTTCTAATCCAGGGGTTAACGACAAACAAATATACATTTAAAAACTAACTGAACTAGCCCTTTTTGAGTTTAAACTTCCTCCTCAGTATCGGGGTGCGGGTACAGTCGAGAATCCAGCCTATGCAGAAGGAGGACAACTGTCAGTGGTCAATGGAGTTACTTATTCCCCATGCAACAGAGGCGAGCATAGACAGCTGTACAGTAATGGCAGATATGTAGTTCACATACAGTGGTGTGGCTCAGAGGCCGAGGCAGCTGTAATGGAGGGACAGCTGGAGATTAATGCCAGTGGGACTGTTTGATTTCCACATTGAAGAGAGCTGTGACATATTATAGATACATATACATACATATAACTAGAGACTCTATTATATGAGGCTGTTGAGAAGCTGCTAAACTATGAAAAAACATCTAGTGGTATGGCTAGGGGCTAAACTTTATTCCTGGCTTTTAAAAGTTGAGTAACACCAATAATGCATGATGCAATGTGGGATATTTAAAAGGATGGTTGAAAAGTCATTTTTACAGGCTAACTTTGACGCTAATGGAGAAAAACTCAGGGTGCAATTAATTGATTATCAGATTTTCCCAATTAGCCACGACACAAGCTAACATCACTGAAAACCTCAAGTGAGAAAGACACTTAATAAGAATAGAAAAGCCAACCTGCAGTAACTTCTAACTAGCACCACATAAACAGCAGTAAAGCATCGAATAATATAGCAAACTGTAAAAGGCTCTTTCACAACACTCATCTGCCACTGCATCTTAAAACTAATTTGTCTGTCTTGTTTTCTCTTATTGACTAAATAATCAAACTTTAAATGCTCTCATTTGATCATCTTACCTTTAAACACCACTGATTGAGAGACGCACCAGGCTTTGGCTTTGGCTGCGGTGCATGGGGCTTGCGCATGCGCACTGTTTCTGGGCGTTTGTAGCTATTTTCCATGAAAACTTGAGCTTTTCAAACTTTTCTTAACATGAGGAAGATACCCTGACATTATGCATTTATTATCATAGTTGTTATGTCCGTTTGTTGTCTTGTTTTCTTGCATACCTTTATCAACCAAACACAATCGTTCATTAAAGCATTTACCTGCCTTCCAGCCTGTGGGTAAAGAGTAAAGGTAAGAGCACAACAAAACTTAATCAATATAGTTAGTTGTGGGAAATATAACTCACCCTTTAAAGTTTTAACAATGTGAATGAAAGTGTCTTCACTGGTTTACTGCAGTTCTTTCTTCATTAATCCAAGCTGGTAGACTGCCAGCACCACAACAGGTGCTGAAAATGTTTAATATAAATTAAATTAAATAATATTGGGCTCGTTGAAATAATAATTCAATTATTATATTCTTTCAAGAAATATACTGCAATTAGCTACTTCTTTAAAAGCCAGACATAATGTTAAAGTATGAAATTATATATATATATAAGAATGGATTTTGATATATGTTGTCACAGCCGGTGTGTTTATAGCCCAGCTATTACATAACCAACATTTAATTACTGTTAGCTGCCTTATGTTTGTCTAAAATAGTAAACCTTATGTTAATATATCTAATTATTTTCAATTGGCTAATTTGAGGTACATAAATCTAAAACAAAAACAATATAAATTTAATTTTTATGAAGTTGATATATTATTTGAGAATGTATCTCTACATATACATTTAATAATCACCATTGCATTATTATGACAACCTTACTAATGTTATCTCTCCATTTAACCCCTCCCTCTCCTCAGCCCCCTGCAGTTTTAAACAGCTGCCAGCGTATCTAACAACAAAGCAATGGGATGTTAGTGAGAAGAAAGCTCACCTATATAGGGATCAATAAAATCACATCAGAGGAAGTACTAATCAGACTTTCTCTTTTTTTAGGAAAAGATGGCATGCAGAGGAATTTGAACAGCGTCTGAGGATGGATGACATCCAAGCCTCAGAGAGCATGCTGGGAGGTTTTTACAAGGTTCAGCTCAAGTATTGTCTTTGGCAGCGCTTTGATCGAGCAAGTGGAGCTCAGTGTGACAGTCTGGCAGGGTAATTGGGCTGAAATTGCCAGTACACAAGTATACATGTGTGAAAGCACACACATAATTGTGCACATGCAGTTTCTGTTGCCTTAATATTACTTTAGGAATACAAGTCAACTTATGGGAGTTTCTTTTGAGAATTAAATATCTATGTTTTGAAAATATAAAAAGCAATTATGACAGCTTTCTTGGTGAACTTCCTGTTGACTACTATTGATGTTTGTCTTGCTTGTGGCCTTCCCATACAAAAATATATATTTTTGAGTGAAGAAGTATTATCTCAAGTATTGTACAACAAAAACAAAAGTATCCAGAGTGGATATGTAAACCTTATACAGTACAATTCCTGTAGATGGCCCCTGGGCAATTGATGACAAACACGACTTTCATGCAAAGAGTTTATTTATGAATCAGACTGCAGTATCATACAACAGTAGCACAATCATATGACTATGGATTATGCTCATATTTATAGATACAAAGATAAAGGCATGTCTTAAAGGAAAAAAAATGAATGAGTTCTCTTTTGATTTACTCTAAAAATAGCTTTTAAATACTTGGCATAGTTTTGTAAATTAAATTATGAAACATAATGTTTTGCCCACCGGTTTTACTATTGGAGTACCAAATGCAAATATAGTTTATGAAAAACATTTTTTTCTTCCTCCTCTCTTGCATTTCATGCAAGGAAGAAAAAAAGATGTCAGTGAGTACAAAAAGCACTTAAATCTCATATGAAAATAGAAAATATTACAAGTGTGCATAATTACTTCATGTTGCACATAACCTGCAGTACAAAAAGTCAAATGACACTATGTTCAAGTGTACCTGACATGCCAATTATTGGGGGGGGCGTATGTACTGAAATAGCTATTTAAATGTCATTAGGGGCAGTTTACACACAAGACTGAGGTGAGGCCTTTCAGTCTTCAAAATGAATTGAAAATGAGATGTGTCAGTAATTATGGGCGTGCCAGCTTGTCCTCCCTGTGATGCTGACTATGGGCTTGTCTTGAAAACACTGAATCTCATCCTGTTCTTTTTAGATTTTATGCTTTTTGTATTATTTGAAGTTCACAGTTTTGATTCAATGTTCCTACAGATAAACAGCATGAAGAGCAGAAACTATCCACAATGCTACTGTACCTCTCCAGCCAGAGGCGTGGCAGAACAGTAAGTTGTAAAAACCTAAGGTATGAAACAGTGCTTAGTACGTTAGTATTTGGCATTGCCTGGAGTATAATGTAATGCACACATAATAAGGCGACATGAATATTCAAAATTTACAAGAAATGTTTGAAATTCTAAGACAGATTTCTGAGTCGATAAAATGCTACAACTGTAAAATGCTACATAACAATTAAGTGATACTTGATGAGGGATTAAACAGTGATGAATTTCTTACAAATCTGTTGGAGATGCGTTACACCAATGGAGCACTGCTGTTGTCAAAAAACCACGTAACTGCAAAATTGTTTTCATCCACAAGATTTTTTATATCATTATTTAAGTTTTAGGTTATGATTTAAAATGTATTAAAAACACTTGTATTAAAAAAAAAGTTTTTTCATACATTTCGCACATACGTGGTTTTTTGCCAAAAGTAGCATACCACATTGTATCCTTTAGTGCAATAAGTATTATAGAGACAGCAAAAGAATTTACACAGAATGAACACACTGTGTAATGAATGAAACAAAGAAAGAAAGGGGGAAAGTTAAGAGGAGGACAGAAAGAAGAAAAGGACGGGTGTAAGGAAGGAAAAAGAAAAACATTTCCCAATTTTATTTCTAAACATGTTTTCGAGGAACCAACAACAGAACGATACATGATTTGAATTGGAAGACATACAAAGACAAAAATAAGACACAGGCCATGTCTGACCACCAACAGAGGAAATACAGCTGAGATGGACTGATGTATCAAATATCACACGGAGCGTCCAACATTAACTTTGTTAGCGTATGAAAAAAGCACTATCAAATCATGGCACAATCAAAAAGTTTTCATCCCATCAACACTGGCACTGATGAACCCTATCACTCACTGAAACCGAATCGTGTGATCAAGGCACACCACAGGGCCATCCCTTCTTATCTCTCTCTCTCTCTGTCTTTTAGATTTTAAAGCACTAGAAAATTATGTATACTCTCAATATGATACTATACAGACATATGATACTTTCAGCTTGATATAAGTGTGGAGAAATAAAATTTCATGGTTAAATACAAAATATCTCTTAAAATATTTAAAATATACTTTATTTTGTACATTATGCAAACTGATTAACAATTCGATGATAAGAAAAATAAATATTCCGTGAAATGTCGTCTCTTTGCGATACAGATGTACGAACATAGATATATACCATGAAGTAAAGCACCCGCCCCATGTTAAGCGCCCATATACCCTGACACGATTCCATATCCCTGTAATATGATTCAAATGACACGTTCACATTAAAACTCCTGACAATGGTTCCTACAGGTAGCTCCACTACACCACTGATCTGTTTGTACAACAATATTGCTCTACGTATCTTTTTTTCTATGTCCCTATATCCATCTTTAATTTCAAAGTCATAATCAAAGTTGCTGACCACCACTTAAACTCAATCCGTGCCTTTATTGCTTCCTGAAATTACCTGGAAAAAGGGAGCTATATATCGGATTGATCAGGGGATGAACACACATCTGGTTAAAGAAGGCAACTCTCCCTCTCCGGCGTAGAACCAATGTATCGTATAATATCACTGATCTATCATGTCAAGTGGTGCAGAGTCACTCTTCACTGAAGAGCTCTATGGGTTATGGTTGCAGTGTGTACAAAAGCGATGAGACAGGGCACAATGTCATTCAATTTTAAAAAAAGAAAGGCTGATTGATCTCATCTGAAAATCAAAACAGTTCTTGAGCCAGAGACAGTGATGTCCAGTTCTAAAACAGCTGTCGCCTCACTACGACAATCAGATACGCAGTTTATTTTGGTGTAGTTTAAATGCAACAGAACAGGTTTGTGACAATAACCCTTCTATGTCTACGTTAGGTTCAACATAAATGCTTACATTCATATCCTTAACAGTTCACCTGTAAACAAACAGATTCGTTCAGTATGCAAAAAATGTCTCGACTGTATTCACTATGGACATTTTAGAAGTTCTAGTATGCACGACAGAATTGCATAATGTCTGCCAATGAGAAAAGCATAGGGAGGATAGAATAGAAAGGACAAGCCGCTACAAGAAGACTAACTATTAGGAACCCTATAAGAGGATGAGCTTGGGGATGGAGGACGGATGGGGTAGTGGGAAGTCAGTTTGGGAAGGCTGGGGAGGGATCCAGGGTGGAAGTTGCCCCACAACTTAAAGGGGCACCTCCCTTTGGCAGTGGAACAGCACTCTTAGTAGTCAACGCAGCGCCGAGGGTGAGGGTGTACACAATGCTCTTGTCGGACAAGAAGGCCATTTCAGTGTCAAGATGAGATGAAGGCATTCTAGTAGGCAGCCAGGTCACAGTGTTGGAGCTAAAAACCTCAGATGGAGATGATGGACGCAGTCTTTCTACACTGTCTCCACTCGGCTGGGATCATTGGGTTCTGGGATGTAAAGAAGACAAATATTCATTCAGACAATAGTATTTTTTATCTGTATCTACTATTGCATTGTGTTACTCAACTGCACAATTGAAAATAATTTTGACAGGACAGTAAAATGTGTGTTCAAGTATGATTTGCATTTATTCTAGTAATGTAGTTGTCAGGCATATGTTTAATGGACTTGAATTCTCTGAGGCGGGTCGAAGACTTGCACTATATTTGGCACTGACACCATCTTGTGGAGGTGTCTTTAACAGCAAGGCCCATTGACAGACTACATGAACAAGGCGGTCTTAAGATTGTATGCATGTTTGCTCCCTTATGTACAGGAGAGTCAAAAATTTCTATTTTCTTTTAGATTGATAAAGAAAATGTCCCTAAAGTATAAAAAAACAGAAAATATAAATATAGCTTCAGTCATCTCCATTAACACAGTTTTATGTCTCCTTTACAGAATAATCCTTAAAGCACAATTTTTGTCAAAATTACCCATGAAGCATTCAATGGCTCAGTTTTCTAAATAACCTTATGATTATCATTTTATATCAATAACTGTGAATTATTTTAGTTAATTTTACCCATACTTGTCAGTATTTAAATGAAATTATTGGACTGATTCATGGTTTAGTCTGCAGTCATCCTGAAGCATGCATTATAAATCTGTGGATAGGGACAGTAAAATCGTATGATGCATTGAACAAATATTTTTCTACTGAATCTGTGCCGACCAAGAACCACGAGGGAAATAAATATTTTACTGTTACTGTTACCCTTGATAATTAAAACATGTGGATACATTTGTAAAGCTGTACAGACAGTGCTCTAAACTTGACTAACACATTTCCCACATGGATCCCCAAAGCTTAATTTCCTCTACTTATCTTACCTGAGAGAGATGACTCCTCCTCATCTTGCAACACTGTCTCCTCAGAGACCTGCTGTGAATGGGTGACCTCTTGATCGTTCTCCTTGTCTCTCTGAGGAGCAGGATGGGGCTCCTCTGCTTGTTCGTCCTTGCCCTCCCCCTCTGTCTCTGCCTCAGCCTCCCCCTCCCCAGAGTCAGTACTCCTGATGCTGAGGCGCCTCATACGATACATAACGTCCACCTCCCTCATCCGGGCCATACGCTCAACTGCCACCCGACCTGGAGAGATAGCCAGCTTGTTCTGCAATGCTTCGATTCGGTTGGAGGGTCCCCTGCTCTTTCTCTCCCCTTCCAAGCTAAGAGACAGCCTGCGGTCTAGGTTTGGGGGAACTGAGAGTGGCAGTCTATCTGGCGGAAACTCTGGTAACCCTGGGTGGTCTCGCCCCAGATGAGTCCGTAAACCAAGTCTATGCTCTGGGACAGTAAATGGCTTCTTTTCTTGCTCCTGCTTGTCATCAGGCATTGTACTGTCTTGCCCCTCACACTCACTTTTCTCTTTAGCTGTCTGTTTGTCTGCACTGCCTTCAGGTGTTTCTCCTGTAATGGCTTCCTTCTCTCTTAAGTCTACTTCCTTTGTCACTGTTTCACTAACACTCTGTTCCTCTGTGACTTGGAGGTCTGCAGGCACATCAGTTGCTAATAACGTGGATGCACTCTCCTCTGTAGCTCCATTCGCTGGTATGCTCTCAGCAAGATTAACTATGCCCAAATTGTCCAAGTTTTCTGCCTGAGCATTGTCTGCAGTTCCACCCCCTCCCACATTTTCCTGTGTCAATGAATGCTGCTCCCTTGTTTCAGTACACATGTCAGACCCTGACTGATTAAAACTTGAGTCTTTTGGCTCCTCTGTTTTTATATCTTCTGCTGGACTTTCTAACGCAGCGCATTGTGGTGGACTGCCATTTTGATTGGCTGAGCTGTCCGAGCTGTTCTCCTCATGAAGTGGAGGCAATGGGCCCTGTCTCATCTGATTCTCAAGCTCCCTTTTACAAATAGGGCACTCTTCCTCTGATTCAGCACTGAGATCTTGAAGAGGCTCTGCGTCATTAGGCTTAAAATTGCCTGCGGATGCTTTATTGGCATCCGCCGGGTCTCTAGTCTGACGCAAAGTCTGGCATATGTCCTCATAATCAGGAGGACTAGTGAGCGTAGAGGCATCCTGCATGGGCTGTCTATCTGCCCACGGCACCTCAGCTGCTGCGGTGCGTGTGGTTGGACTAAAGTCACAAAGTGGTGTCTCAATAGGCTCATCTGGCAGGTCTAGTTTCACTGTCCTGCCATCGTTGCTCCGTCTGCGCGAAAGATGCGCAACAACCCTGTATTCTCTGAAGCCTGTCTCCCGAGGTGGGACGGGGAGCTCCTCTCTAAGCTGCTTGCTGAAGGTTACCGACTTTGTTGCAGGCCTAGAGAAGGCACTCTTGACTTCCCTGTATTCTGGGTCAACAGACCAGCTTACTGCACTGCGCCTAAGGCTGCTGGGCTTGTTGAGAGGTTCTGATGTCAATCGGATTTTGATACGCTCAGGAATTTGAACAGAACCATTTGGGACTTTATTGCTGGCAGTGCCTAGCTCCAAGATGTCTTTGTAGGCCTCGTTGAGGTCCTCTATGCACTTGTCAACGCTGGGCTGTTTGCTGCTCTGTTGCTGCTGTTGATCCTGGACTTCTTTTTTGATCGTCTCCAGCTCTTTGACAGCATCCCATGGTCGCTGGCTGGCCGGTTTCAACAGGAACTGATCAAATGCCTCCTGCCCACTGTTTGCTGCTGGTTTGGTCTCCTCCACATTTCCTGAGGGTGGTACTGCTGGATGCTGAGCTGTGCTCTTGTTCAGCTGGTTGGAGAAGGTGGATGTCAGGGAGAAGGCGCTGTTGCTTGAGAGTTTCAGGCTCTTCACTCCCTTTATAGGAAAACTGAAGGCAGTGCCCACTACACCGCTGCTATCAGGAGGGACTTCAGTGCTGGGAGTGACAGGGTCTTGTTGTGCTTCCTTGTTTTCAGGGGCAGGTTTTCGGGCCTCGGGGCTAGTTTGTGTCTCCTGGTCTCGATACTGGTTTGCAGGCCAGGTTCCCGTCAGTTTCATCTCCTTGTAATGGTTTATCTTAGGGGGTCTACAGGGTACTCTTTTAAACATTTTGCTGCTCGCTCTACTGCTTGTTTTGCTGCTTGCTATGCTACCAGTCAGTGCTTGCAGCTCAGCTTCAGCTGAAGATGTGCTTTGGAGACTTTGGTTTGTTAAATGGCCAGTTTTGTTGTCACTAGGACTGTCCGCTGGGTCTGGTGACTTCTCATTGTTGTTATTCTGATCACGGATCGTCCCACTGAGCTGCGGAGTAACAGGGACAGACACCAAACAAAAAATTGTCTCACTAAGTCTCTTTTTTAGATTCTTGGATTTGTCTTTTTCTGGTGGTTCAGGTTGTTCCACCTTTTTTACTTCTGTCACAGTTTCAGAGACACCCTGGTCAGCCGGCTTGCATGGGGGAGGTGGTGGTTTACCCAGAATAGATGAAGGAAAAAACTGACTACGATTTTGTTCAGGAGCTACACTGTCAACTTTTTTGTTTATTCCCCTGTTGCACCATCGATTACTGCTGTCATTGTCAGTGAGAGCTGTTTTGCGGCTCTCAGTATTTAGAGCTGACCCCTGTTGGGGAGGAAAGGCACTATCATGTGGAGATTGTCCTAAAATCTTAGCAGACGGAGTCTCTTTGTTGATGTTACGGATCTTGTCTGAGTCGGTGAGAGAACTTCCGCTAGGCCCTCCTGAGATTTGTTTCACTCTTGCGTCTTCAGTTGGTAATTGACGGGCATGACCTGGTTGTTCTTCATGTCCAGAATGTACCTGTTTTCGATAGGACGCACCACGATCTCCATAATGTTCCAGCCATGAACCACCTGCCTGTCTGGAAAACCACCTTCCAGGATCTGAGCTGGGCATCTGCAGAGCTTCCGCCCTCCATCTTAAGTTTGCCATTTCATTGCGGTTGATTGAAACTGCTCTTGGGGGTGGGGCTCTTCTATAAGATGGGGGTGGGATGTAGCCAGGGGGCTCCATTCCAGAGATGGCAGAGTGTTGTGCGAAATAGTCTTGTCTCAGCTCCCCTCCCCTATGATAATAAATAGGCCTCTCTTTTTGTTTGGCACCCTGTTCTATAGCAAGCATTTCTGCGCTACCCCTAGTCTGCTGGTGAATCTCATATGACGGAGGCTTTAAGGGCCTGCTGAACCTGGGCTTTGGTAAAAGTGCAACATGGCTGCTTGGCCCAGCGTTCCTACCCCACCGGTCCCTGACAACAGCACCACTATAGATATACCTACTATAGGGCCCAGAGAAGACAGTGCTGCTTATCCTCTGTCTATCAGGTAGGCTAGGCCTGGATGGAATGAGCTCTCTGCTGCAAACTCCATCAGGTGACAAAACTCTGGGCAGAGACTGAGACTTTGCTTTAGTTCTAGGGTGAAAAAAACCCTCCGGCGTCCTCAGGCGGTACTGGTCATGAGCCCACCTCTCCCCATCCCCATCTGACAGCTGCCTTCCCAGGCCCACAGCAGGCCTCCACTCCTCTGTACCGAGGCTCTGGCACTTCCTCTCCCCGGTCACCCTTAGCTGACCAGGGGCTGCGTCCAGGTCCCTTAGCCAGGAAATGTCCTCCCATAGCTGCTGCGCTTGCCTCTCTGCTCTGTGTTCCTCTGCTGCAATCAGGGCCTGTGGCCTCCATGCGCCAGCAGAGGCCCTCAGCTCCCTGCCATCAGCATAGTCCAGGAGGATGCTGAAGTCCTGGCCTCGCCTCCGCCAGTAGGAAACATCCCTCTCGTCATAGCTCAACGGCTCTGAATAAGTCAAACTGGGAACATCGTAGAACCTGCAAAGACCGAAAAATTCAGCGTGAATAAGAAATTCCTAGTGTTCTGGCAGGAGAGTGAGGTGGACTCAGAATCTAGGTTGACACTTGTCTATATTTGTCTGGTCAACTTGTCTACTATAACTATTTTATAGTTTTTCTGTATAGTTGCAAGATGAGTGAAATCTGACACAGTCATTAGGTTTAGGCACACAGATAAACACAAATATATCAAAAAGGCAGTAGTTTATTTTATATGACTGGCAATTTGCTAGCATTTCATAGTTTAAATTAAACACTAAAAATAAACTACTGATACATTATTCTGCAAGGAACAGACTTTCCCAAATCAAAAAGAATCTAAATGAGTTTTATCTCAGTTTCTATGAAAATATAATAAACCAACACCACCCTTTTGAGACTTGATAGTTGCCAAACAAGTGACATGCCAGTCCCAAGCATGTGTTTTGGCTTTGAAAGTATTGGCTTCCCAATGCAACTTAATCAAGGAGAGCCAGCACATATGAGACAGAAGTGCTTAAGTCAGCGGCTCCCAAGTCCCTTGAAGAAACCATGAAATTGTGATGCTTCTGCAATATGATCTGCATATTAAATTGTGCTGATCTTATCTTAGAGGCTGGTCATCTGGACAGCTACTGTGGGCTTTTAAAAAGAGCCTAAGCAAAAACCGGATCTGACATGAAAACAAAAGTACCTCTTTCCCTTTGTTTAATTCGTCACATAGCTCCATTAGCAGTATCAAACATTACCATTATAGGAAATACAGTATAACCTACCCATAAACAATACATTTTTAAAGCAGTCTGCTTCACTTTGTCACAACAGAACATAATTCAGGAGAAAATCAGAAGAAGGTCTTTTTAATTGTTTCTAGGGTGAATATGTAACATCACAAACATTAATATAATTTTAAAAGGGCTTGCTGAATATAACATAAAATGGCAAGTGTGTGACGAGTGACTGTTGGCAGGCTCAAAACAGTGGCTCCACTGTAGTGTGATAAAGCAGTGCCGCCTGGAGATGATTTTAGTTATGGTTCCATATTTACCTCTTATGTGCAGATTATGGCTGTAATGCACGTTGCACTGCCAAAACAATTATCTTAGAAATAGCATACTTAATCATAACAGATTAAGTCTAAAAAACCAAAGCTTCACTTCTTTGTGTTCAAGAGGGTCATTTTGTTCAATTACACTATAATTTTTATTTTCTCAAGCAGTCGTGGTAATTTTCTTGGTCTGGTGGAACAGCACTGCTGAATGCAGCAGGAGAAATACCGTAATATCCATGAATTTCTGTAGGTTATCAGTCACATCCAAGCATGTTTTAACCCAGCCTGATGACAGGCAGTTGTAATGGAACGAGGGAGTGTGGGTTTTAAATCCTTGTTGAAATTCAAATGTAACCGTCAGATCTTTTCAAATAAAATAAATCAATAGTTGTCTTTTCTCAGGCTAGTTGATTCATATTTATGATACAGCCACATAAGGCTATGAATTGTTCTATAAAAAACAAAATAAAAATCATAACCATAAAATATTTCATTATGTACGTATTACAATACACATCTGTAAAATATCCAGTCTAATAAATAATAAAAGAGAACTCAAAAAATGAATTAAATACAATTACCCTTTTTTAAAGAGCTTCATCTTATATCTGCACTGCACTAAATCACTGTGTTAGTCACTGTACTCATTCATTTAAGCAGCAAAGTCAATGGATCATCCTCAGCAGCATATGCTACTGTATGGCTGAGGGGAGCCGCGCTGTGCACACTTGCCCAGCAACATGCTTACATCACAGAGCACGTGCTGGGCGTGATTCAGTGTGCCAGTGTTTACAGTGGAGTGATTACGCGCCTGTCTTGAGGCATGTTCAGTCCTCCTCAGTTTGCTCACTGTCTAGTGCTGCTGTTTACATCTGCCTGCCTGGTGGAGGCTGTGGAGATGATACCAGTGCATGGGTGGGCTCCACAGAGACACAAGCCACCTTTCTGTGCTGGCATGTAAACAACTCAAATGAGTGCAAAGGCACCTTTCATAATTCCTCATATCCAAACATAAGATATGTCAGTGGTGCTGCTGCAGCCACAGTGTTCTGCAGCTCTGGAAGGAGGGGAAAGGGAAGAGGAGGAAAAAAAAACCCTGCGCAGTGCAGACTCAGTTTTGCATGCAATACCGAAGGGCCCCAGTGAGAAGGAGGGGAGAGGGAAAAAAAAGGGAAGGTAAAGGGTGTGGGGGATCGCAAAAGAGAGGGAAAAAAACACTCACCCACTATCTGTGGCAAGAGAATCACCCAAGGGCTGAGCGTCACCTAGGATACCGATACCGGCTTCTTTTCTCCTTAGGTTCCTTTCTCCGATCTCGTTGTCGGTGGCGGGGTAGCCCTTCACCAGTGCCTGCCTGCTGCCATAGATGCCTGTGATAGATGCCCCCCGGTCCGCCTCATACCCGTTCAGTGTCCCCCGGCCAGCCCTGTTGTCCACAAGTTCACGCTGGCAATCAGCAGGGCGCTTGTCATAAGGCGTGGCAGACGGAGGGCCGCTCTTGGGCAATTTATATCCGTGCGAAATGAGGAGGTCCTCCACACTGTACATGGTGGTGTCTCTCTCACTTCTGGGCAGGAGGGCAAAGGTGGGTGTGTTGCCTTATGCGCAGTGCTGCTGGTGGAAGCTGGAGGAGCACGGTTGCTCAGCAGAGGCCATCACTAAGGGAAGGACAGGGGAGGGAAGAGGTAACATGTGAACATTTCTGCATGCACCTAAATAAAAGGATGTCATTTTCAACACACTAGCCGATGTCAGGAAATACAGATGTTTGTGTTACCCTTCCAGATGTGTTAATGGCTTGCTTTTTAAGCATCTGTTATGTTGAACGCTCACTGAGTGATCTAAATTAAACATGAACACGTGCTAAACATAAACGCAGTCTTTAGTGAAGAGATTGTGTCTCCAAGGGCAACTCTGGAATGTACAACTTAAGTTTTAAAGGTGCACACTGCAGAATCAAATCTATTTTTACTCTTTGGTCCAGCTGATTTTCCTGAACAATTCTCTCACAAACCTATAAACCAGAAAACGTGTGTTGTTAGCCACACCCTTCCTTCCTCCCAAAGACATTTTATCCTCTTGCCAAATTGTCTAAAACAATTTAGCTAAATTGAGAATGTTCCCATCCATTAAACCACTGCCTACATAATGATTTCTACACCCTTTGCCTGGGATAAATATAGTGTAAAATGTGTTTTAACCTCAACACAAGCAGGTCCAAGGTGGAAAAATCGCCATCAGTCAATACAATCACTGTTATTGTTCTCCAGACACTCACAGCAGCATTTGGACAGCTGCACTATGCATGTGGACAATGCTGTACTTCCTCCAATAGACACAGAAAACAGCAAAAATTAACAGAAACCACAAAGTAATTCTTCAATTTAAAGTAAAGAGATGATAATACAAACATACATACATACAAACAGCCTATCTTGGATACTTCAGTATGGCTTGAATTATATATTTGCCCTTCTGGCAACTTAATACATCTGCAACCATTCTGTATAGGACAATATAATATAAATTACTGTACATAATGTACACTGCTCTTTGTCTATGTGCTATGTGTGTCACTATACATGCTGTAAGTCTGTAACTTGCCAGTATTTCTTCTGTCGTAATGGCATCAGGAAAAAAGATGGTACATTTATCACGGGTAATTAAAGTGATTCAGCTCCTGAATCATAAAATCCGGTTCAAAGTTGAAGTCTAAGTTGCAGTGTTAACAAAAAATTCAGACGAACATGAAATATAAGAGTAAAAAGAACTGAAAAGAAGGTTTAAGTTGAAATGATACCATAAACTAACTCACACAACATAAATCCTGTAAAACTGTAAATACTGTAACGCCATCCACACTTCGAGAAATATGTATGTTCATTTTATAATTCATCTTAATGGGGAAAAAAATGTTTTTATGTCTGTGTAAAAGTGCATTCTCCATTTAACTCCTCAGTTAATCTGTAAACCAGAAGCAACCAAACAACCAGGTGTGGACATAAAACTAAAACTGTTCAACAACAAAGAACCTCAGCACCTCACTCAGATTCAATTTAATCCTAAATAAATAAGATTAAATTAAGTGTTTGTCAAAGACTGCCAATACTGTATTATTGAAGTATAAATATTACTGCAACGAACGGTTATTTTCATTAACAAACGATTATATCTGCCAATTATTGTCTTAGTTAACTAATTTTGTAATGCCATCCATACTTTTTCTCAAATCTGGAGAACAATATCTGTAGGCCAGGGCATCTCTTCAGAACTACAATACTTAATTATATTACATTTGACCATTAACCACAAATTGCAGCTTCCGCAATTTACATTTACATTGCATTTTTGATAATATTTTAAATTAATTGTGCAGCCCTGGTTTGGCTTGAAAAATAACTTCCATAGCATCAAAATAGTAATATTCTGTCAATCAACTAATTGACCATCCATTACAATTAGGTAAAAAAAAAAAAAAAGAAGAATGTTGTTTTATGGCTGCTTAACACAGACTAAAAGTTTAATGTGAAGAGTCTATTCTCTGAAGTTCCTCTGCTGTTTGTGTGTGTGTGTGTGTGTGTGTGTGTGTGTGTGTGTGTGTGTGTGTGTGTGTGTGTGTGTGTGAATGCAAAAGCAGCCCTGCCTGTCTGATATATTAATTAGTGGCTATAACAGTCTGTCCTGCCTGGAGATGACAGTGGATGGCTTATAAAACAGTAACACAGTGATCAAAGGCTTTGCAGACATTAGCATTTTTGCTAATCATGTTTGGACTTGAACAGCGGCTCGCTATTCATTTACCATTGTGAAGGTGTCACTTACAGGACAAGTACAGGGTTGAATCAAAGACTAAACTAAACTACGTGATTCCATGTCTTATTTTTTAATTAAGGAGGCAGAGGTCATGTGACAGAACTATTTGAATGTGACACTTGACCATTCAAAGATATACAAACAGATTAATATTTAATAACAAAGATAACACAGACTGAAAAGTTGACTGAAAGTTTCCCATGGCAGGGTATGTTATTGCAGTGCATTGTGTTTTGGTTTAATATTGTTAGTTTACCATGAACAAGTGTTAATTATTAAAATTACTGCACTTAAATGAGCTTATATGAGAGTTGCTTCTGTCCCTTTTCATGTTAATGACAGACTTCAGTTTACAAAGGCTATTTAAAGTTATTTTATGTTCTTTTCTATGCAATTCATAATTAATACCTTATGATAGGACAATAAATTATTTAATTATTACAATGATATTCCCTTTCAAAAGATTTAGATATAAGAATCCTAGTTGTTGTTTTTTTTTAGTTGAAATCAATAAATATCAATAATACTGATAACATAAAAAACTATTTTTACAACATAAAGTATTAAATTAGACTTACAACTACTGTGAATACTAATAGAGGTGAACAGTAACCAGACTAGGGCTGCAACTGATTTCATTATCAATTAATCTGCCAATTATTTTATAGAAAATATGGTGAAAAACGCCCATCACAACTTCCCAGAGTTCAGTGTGACATCCTTACACTGCTTCTTTTGTTCGACCAACAGTCCAAAACCGAAGAATGTTTCATTTACTATCATATATGACAAAGACAAGAAGACAATCGTTGTATATGAAAAACTGGAAGCAACTAATATTTGCATTAAAATTACCAAAACTGTTAATCAATTACTTAAATCATTTGATCGACTTATTGTTGCAGCTACATACATTACCTGCTCCAACAAAAGTTGACAAAAGCCAATAAATCTGTCATTAAACGATTTTTTTTTGGCTTCGTTTACATCAATTATGCAAAATATTGATCCAATTGAGGACCATTTTGTTCAAATGATTTGGAAAATGTACTCATCTTCGCTTGACCTTAAGGTGACCTTAACATTTCTCACTCCATAACTTTGTCCACTTTGCAGTTAGAAGTTGCCTCTGGCCTGGGAGCTTATTTCATACTGTATGACTCACTGTAACACTTTACATACAGCCTTGAGATCATTAATACCATCCAGATGTAAAAGGCTCAGCAGAAAATCTCCACCGTGAGACCACACTGTGTGTAACCATATTTTCAAGGACAACACATGTGAAAATGAATCAGACGGATTATGAATGTCATTGTAACTTCACTGACTAGACAAGCCCGAGCAGACTTTAAAATAACCTTAAAAAAATCACTCAGCAACGTTGAAATCAGAGCTTCTGATGTGCAAGTCCTCCAACTATTCCTGGCTCTTCAAGTGGAGTGAATCGGTAGTGTGATAAATGCAGCAAAAATCAACTCAAGGGCTTCTTGAATTAGCCAAATCCAAGAGCAGTCATGACCAGTAAAGATGGACCTGTATAGAAAAGTAGCTTCCTTTAACGCAGAGTTTTATCGGGGAGAACCAGAGCGAACCAGACACACAGTGGCCCTTTTTGACAAGGTCACAGCTTCAAATGATTGCAGTGGAAATATAGCACATGAGCCTTTTTTTGCATAGCAACAACAAAAGTAGCATCAATAATTACAACACAGGCAGATTTTTACATGCACATTGTTGATACGCTGAGGGATACAATAGTGTGATGTGTGAGGAGAACTCACAATAAGGTCAGCTCTCGTAAAAAGTTGCTGTTGAGGTCATTCACTAGCTGATAATTACTGCTGGTAAGAGTTGAGTCCCTTTTTTTCCCCCCTGCTTTTGGAAACACAGATCAATTTTTATGCAAGGAGCTTTCATTGATAACTTTCCCCTTCAGCCCTAAAAAAAACCCAACAACTTGGAGCTTGAGTCTAAATTGACTTTAAACTTTTTTTTTTAGAAATGTTTTATTGACCACCACCCTGCCGGAGCTGAAAGAGGGAGGGAGGCCACCCCTAAATGTACAGCCAGGCCTTGCAGACTGCATGCACAGGTAGTGGCCACTGTAACACATCAGCACTAGCAGGCAGCACCACCCTAACTGCTAAGGGAGTGTACCTACATCTTACCTAGTGACAGGGAAAACAGAGCGCCACAGACCAGGATAATCATTAAAAAAAAATTTAAAATTTAAAATGCTTATGCAAACTCATTTCAAGCTCAAGTTCAGCACCTTTATAATTAAAAGCACTTTGTGTTAACTAAGTGCACCTGATTCTCTGGAAGAAGAAAAAAAACATCCTCCCCATCATTTCCCCTGGATGATAACTCACTGTATGAATGAATAATGATTTGAAACAGATCCGTGGTATCACAACACATAGCTATCAATAATATATCAATGTTGTAGGAACAGCTGCCTATGCACAGACACAGTATGACCTACTACAGCCTTGCTATAGCCTACTGCAGTGTTATATGGCACAGCCTACATTAAATTGACTGCTATGAAATGATTTTTCAAATCAGCTCCCAATACCTGCTTCGCCCAGTGCCGCAAGTGCAGCGCCTACCAGAGGAAAAAAAAAAACCCCACCTCTACCTGCACGCACTGTAAGTTGAACATATAGTCATGTTTTGACGAAAGCTGCTTGCCCAAATCATAACCTCGTTGCAAAATTTCCGCCCCCCCCCAAGAAATTGCACGCAGCGCAGCAGCGAGCGCACATCCCCGCCTCACCGCCACCAGCAGCGGCAGCGGCGGCGGCGGCGAGGCGCTGATCTGTCGAAGGGCGAACATTTTGAGGTGTGTGCAAGTTGACGCGCGGTTAACGAGGAGGCTTTTTTGCAGATGCGTCTTCGCTGACTGTGAGTGTTTACCAAGACCCGCTGCCCTGCGCTACCGTGGAGGCTACGTGAGCCACACACACACATGCAAAAAAAAAAAAAAAAAAAAAAAAAAGACACAACAACCCCTCCCTAGAAAATAAGCCAGTGGCAGAGAAGAGTGGGGAAACAGCATGCAGCAAGATGCCATAACATTGCATTAAAAATAAAAGGAAAAACGAAAAGGGCGTAGCGACAGAGAGACGCATACCTGGGAAGATGCTTGGCGCGGCCGTCGCAGTTCCCCTGCGCCCAGCTTTAGCTGCTGAGACTGAGAGCACTGCACAGAAGCCTGAGCCGAGCATGCCTATTGGTAGGCAGAGACGCGCTGGTTGCTGGCTGCCTGGACTGGGCTCTCCTCACTACAGCTGAGGTGGGGTGGGCTCCTCACATGCAGGCAGCTACAGAGAAGAGGGATGTCAGAATGGTTTCTTCCAAACTGTTTCTCCTAACTTTGCTTTTTTTTCATAGCAACAGTCTTTTTTTCCCCTTTTTTTTTCATGCAATCTGGCATATTGACTTGAATGATAACTACAGACATGTGGAGCAGGGAGGTTTGTGTGTGTCTCCTCCTGTCTTCATTTCTGTCACACATGTTTGGTACATAAGAACCTGACAGGGACACACCTTATGTTTTTTTCTACAAGAAAAGGTCAGTCAGTGGTTGTGCTCATTTTTTGCTTCATTGCTCAACTGATTTTCCAATAAAAACTCCATCTCCGGGTGGCAGATTTCTATAAAAAACGCCCATGCGTCTCTTTCCCATCCTGTTAAGTTTTAGATGAGCAGTACGGCAGCGAGCAGCGCCGCACCCTTGGTGATGTTGATGACTCGTCACTGTGTGTGTCCCCCCTCCCATCCAATGCCAAGACAGCTTGGCTAATTAAATGTGCTGGGCTCAGGCCTTCCTGTGCCAACTGTGACATGCTGCACTCTGAGGGATCCCTCATTCGGAGGAGTGACAGGGCAACGCGCACGTCCCAGAGATCCACTCACTGATGACAAAGTGTTCAAGCCTGACCCCGAGGGCGCCCTGCAAAAAACATGTAAGCCTTTCACTTATTTCCCCACTTTTACACAGGGAAACATCTGGGAGCTGACCAGTGCAACCAGTGCTGAGTGGCCAGTGGATTCTGAGAAGTTCACACAACACATGTAACCCAGAGAGTGTGTTCTTCTGTCGAGTAATGATGATTGGTTGCTTTGGTGCTGGCTGATAAAGTAAATTAAATCTGTTAAGAAGAAGAGAGGGAACAGGAGGGAGTGCAGTTTAAGTGACCCCAAGTAGCCAAAGTGCCTTTACCAAATACAGACCTTATTGTAGGACACCCAGTTGTCAGAGAGATGATAAATGAGGCACCTGGCTGACACTGGCCAAAAGCTAACCTGAGTGCTGCTAACAACAGCTTATTTTCATTCCAGATTCTTCCACATCTTTAATATATGACTGAATGTGGAAATCATACACGGGCCGGAGTCGACTTATATTTGTGCCCAGACACAAGCCAGGTCAGCTGACACTCAGCTACACTCAGTCTGACTGGGCCGGCTGCACTTGGAAGGCATTTCACACTATTTTCACACATCAAACCTAACAGAATACGTCCAACCAACCGTGTTATCTTCCTTGTAGTTCGAACATGATTTAGAATAAAGTATTTCTGATTCTGATGATTGAAAGGCAAGCAATGTGTGGAAAGTTTTGAATTTCAGCTTCAAAAGCTCTGCTTTGATTGTCCAATGACCTGATGACTTTTCTATCTCTTTTTTAAAGATTATTTTTGATTGTATTGCCTTTATGAGACAGGAGCCGCCAGAGATAGACAGAAAGGAGGACTTTGTACATGGGTGAGCTACCAGGGCGCTCTTTCTATCTCTTATCTCTCTCCTATACTGCCAGAACTATTTGTCACAAAGACAGATGTGTGTAACTGTGCATAGCATGTGTTTGTTGTGAAGTTGTACAGTGCAACAATGTTTTGTCACACCAGCTTGGAAATGTAACATTACACATTTAACTTTCCTATATTTCTTATATACAAAATCATTTTTATGAGTCTCTCAACTGTAAAGTGCAGCATACTGGAGTTGACACTGTAATGTTGTGAATATTTAGTGATAGTTGTGATTTATTTACTTGAACTGGTGATATTTGTTAGTTGGTTAAATTGACTCACTATCTTTTTCTGACCTTTTCAGTAAAATCTCCCTGATGAAGACTGTGCGATACGGTTTAAAGCTCTGCAAAAGCTAGTAAGTGGAACTTGAGTAGACGTTTTTCCATTGACTTCCTGCAGTTTGTATCAAGAGGGGATTTTTAGAATCAATGACAAATTCCCACAAGCTATTTAGAATTACAACTATGAGGCTAAGCTGTATATTTACCCAGTCAGCAGCACTTAACTCCAATATGATGTAAACAAGATGATAAGTACATACACCAGGGAAGTCTCTTCCTTTGTAATGCTAGAGGCTAGAGAGCCCATAACACAATAAAGGTTGAGACACCCTCCTTCGACAGCAGTTAGAAACTTCAAGATGACCTCCGTGACTTCATGGTTGCCATCAAATGTATTTGCCCACCTCAACTGATGTCATCCTGGACCATAATAATAATACTTGGCATCTCAAATGTTAATTGGAAGATGAAATCTGCAAAACCCAGATCACCACTGAGCAAAACAACAGAGCTTTACACTACTAACTGTAACTAACTGAAATCACATCATGTTATATCATATCAAAATAAAATCTGTCAAAGATCCAGTCTGTAATCTCCTGCATGCTGCATACACACCACCTTGGATGTGAGAGCGTGTGCACATACATCTTTGACAGTTGTTTAGTATTAGTATTTAGTATTCATCATATAATATAGTATTGGTTGCAAAAATAAGTCTGATTCTATGTAAACTTATGAGAAAACTACCTTACTTCTCACTTGATTTCTTACTTCAGTAAACATTTCTATTTAGTTTATGGTCTCCATCGCTAATTTCAAGTCTTTGTCTGCATAGCATGATGTTCATTTTGTAAATGAATGGTCCCATTTAGTAAAATAGGGCGTGGATACTTTGTGATTAACAAGTCTCAACCACCGCATTTCCTCTGTGTTTTCAATCAGATCCAATCAGGATAGAGGCGCAGCGATGTGTATCCTCCTCAGCTCCTCCTTCTCCTCCAAATGTGGTCACTTCTGGCTCCAAATGAACAAGATGGCGATGGCCACAATGTCAAACTCGAGACCTCAGAACCGAAAACAAATGGGTGACGTCACGTTGGGTTAACACTTGAGTAAAATACAGTCAGTACACAATACATGTAAAAAACCTCCCTGCGTCTGACCAAACATATGAGCGAGTTTGAAGTACACAGCCAATACACATGTTAGAGTAAACGACACAACTTCAGGAATCAATGTATAAAATTGGAGCCATTGCAGTCAACTAATTACACTCAGTCTCAGCTCGTGAGGAGCTTTAGAAAATCTAAATTCCACCACTCGCTGCACTGGCTTTGTGCTGGATGTCTGGTCATTTTAAATGCTGCCAGCCAGGAATACTTTCAGAACACAGACAACTGTATCAGCTCTTCTCCCGCTTCCTGCCATACTGTCAAGGCGCTGCCAGCATCTCTATGGCAACATAACATATGTCATTTTGTGGATGCTCATGCACCTTATAGTATTTGAGTGCTTCTTTTTTAGTACTGCACTGCCTGAAGGGAAGTGAAAGCACGACTCTGGTCTGAGCACAGAAAGGGTCAATAATGGTAGAATATTGTACTTTGGAGACACTGGATTATTAGTAGCTTGTTTAATTGAATTTTACCTTTTAACTTTCTTCAAAAGGTGCTAAATATAAATAAATAGGGTGTCTTCATTGTTAGCTTTTGATGTTTTCAGTTGATGTGTCTTCGTCTTTACCAGATGTTTATTGTCTCAACTTTTTTTGTTCATTTGTAGAACAAAAAATATGTATGTTTGGCATATTTTCTCCCCATCATAGCGTGATCATCATTAGCAGATTAGGTTTTTCAAGCATCATGAGATTGTAGATCAAAAGCTCATGCACAGCTCCTAAATGGACCTTGAGGTGGGAGTACTCTGTCATTATCTTGAAGTTGTTTATTGCATCTCTTGCTCTTGATCTTGAATAATACTTGCGTTGCTCTGGACGGGGATTTGAACTTGATCACTGACACCTGCTTTAGGTGGAGACATGACTGAATGTGGTCTTGAGATTAGAGATATCTCTATCTATATATATCTACATCTGCCTGCTGTGGCTATGTGATTTAGAATCATGTCATTTGGCAGACGAAAAATGACTTTGCCATTTGCACGGCCCGTCTGTAGGCTGCTGCATGCTACAGTGGGTGGTCTAACACCCATATCAGCTCTGCTCTACTTCACATGGCAGGCTGACTTTTTACTGGGTAGAGCCCTTTGCTTCTAATTTACTGCTTTTAAAGTAATCAACTAAAGAAAAAGCCGTAAGACAACTGTGGAAGTGAGGAGGCCTCAGCATCAGATAGCGAACTTTGACTAAAGACTGGACTTCTGTTCCATACATTGACTGAATGTTGAGCTTTTATTGTGCTTATTCTTAGAGCAGCTCTCACCCGGAGGTGAATGTCTCACTTTAGATTGAACTCATTACACATACAGGAGGTGTTGCTGCATGTTTTTCCCATCAGCGGAACAGAAGGAAGAAAGATCTGACTGGGTTGTTTGAGACTTGAGGAAGGTTTGTGGCTACGTTACAGAGTAATAGTGGAGCCTTGTGGTTCATGTAGTAAAGAAAACGGTCAGGAGTATGGACAATTAAAAGCAGCAGGAAAAATAATCAGTGCAATACTGTGAACTTAAAACGTTTTTTGATACAATGGAAGTCAGTAGTGCATGAGGTAGTTTCCATACCTGAGTTTGAAACCAGTTCATTGGCAGGTCCAACTGTGGGTTTTACTGCATCAGAGATACTTGTAAATCACAGGAATGTACTTTATAGAGCTGCTGTTTTGTTTTGAAAATGCTTCTCTGTGGTTGTCTAAGCTTTCTTGCAGGTTCCCCAAGTACAGTAACACACAGCTTTTGTCTGCATTTCCACATGGGACTGTTCTGTTCACATTCATGTTGGGATTTTAAAAAGGAATTTTTGCTGACTTGGGAGCAGCACAACAAGCTATTTTATTACCTTCATATCATATAGCGAATGTGTTGGCAGACAGTTGTGTATTTACACATCCAGCAGACACGGAGTAACGCTCATTTGGGGTTTGTGTATGTTCAGCAGCTAGTCGCTAACTTTGACTGCCAGGTGTTTTGTGCTGGACAGGTAGCATACAGTGGATTTACCTGAGCTGAAAACAGCCGCTTGCTGCATCCGGAAACGTTGCTGAGAACACAGAGAGAGCGAAGCGAAACAGTAAAAAGCTGTAAAACCAAAACAGCTAAATGAGGCTAAAATGAGCTGAGGGGAGCTGCATATTCGGATGATAACTCTCTGTTGTTTAATCACTATGAATGATCCCTTTCACATTATATGAAGTCGTTTGATCCATAGTTAATATAAGAATATGGATTAGAGCAGCTTTAACTAACAGTGTTTTCCACCAACAGCAATAAAGAACATTATTTTAATGATTATGTTGTTTCAGGCTTCAGCTGCTCATATTTATAATGACTAATGCCACTACACAGTGATGACCGGTATTGATCTGGTATTGTCAGTGCCATAGGTTTTGCATTTGCGTTTTACTCCTATAAAGAGCATGTCTGCTATTAGTGGAGTTTTGTGCACTCCAAAAACCAGTTTAAAAGCCTCAGTGGTCAGTATCGATTTTATTTCTTCTATTTTTAAAATGTTCCCCTCCTTCTTTTGCCTGTGTGCCTCGACTGAAACGAGACTGTCATGACTTCCTTCCATGAAGGGAAACATTGATTTCGGCTCAGCGGGGATCATGCAAAACAGCCTCTCATTAAAATCATAATTAGAACTTGGAAATGGCACATGGAGTTCAACTCTGGGATGAGTTGAAAATCTCTGAAAAAGTATTAAACTTCCACTTAGCCTTTCACTCCCAAAACAAACCGGTGCTGACATTTCATACAACGTGAGGTGAACGCAAAAAAAAAAAAAGAAGAAGCAACGTCATATCTGCTGAAGCCCAATGTATTCAGCATCGTATCGAGGTCCAGTTGTTTCTCTCTGTTCTGGACACTTTGATGCCTCATCCACTTCTGTCGACACTAAAATGTGTATTTCTATGTGATATTCATCTGCCTGCCGTTTGACAGGTAAAACAAAAACACGAAAACGTCAGTATCCTTCAGGAGTTCTTTTTCAGTGTCAAGGGCATTCGTTCTTTTCCACCTGAAGGTCACTGCTGTGCATCATCATCATCATCATCATCACCCATCCTTACGCAAATATCAAACTACAACGTCACGTCGACTCTCTGACAATGCTCATAAACTCCCCCATCAGTTGTGAAGGTCCAGTTCAAACACACATTAACACACACACATACATTCACATGAACACACACGCGCACACTCTGCCCTCTTCCTGTCCCCAGCCCTGGTTGCCTAGGAGACAGCTGAGACTGGGACCCCATCTCATTACACACCAATAGGGCTGTGTGACTGGCTGGAGGAAGAAGGATGGGATCTTTGTCGCCATCTAGCAGCCAAGACAGAGAAAGACATTTCTTTTTTCTTTTAGGCCAAAATTCTGCCTAGTAACCCAATATGCTGACTTCTCCTGGTGCTGAAACCCAGCCCTGAATTTCTAATGAGAGACATCCAGTGGTTAGGCTTCACACAAGAGGAAAAGTTAGATATGTGACATATTTAATAGGTAACCTATGGCGTAATCAGTGATTGATTGTTAAAAATTAGAACAAAAATTTGCTTTTTTTTTAATGCAGGCTGAGCAAATGATCACACTTTTTAAAACTACTTGTCTCATAATTCCTAAACATGTTTTTTTAGATAGATAGATAGATAGATAGATAGATAGATAGATAGATAGATAGATAGATAGATAGATAGATAGATAGATAGATAGATATAGACTAAACCAGCACAAATGGTGAAAAGATACTAAGTACATTCACTTAAGTACAGTTCTGAGGTACTTGTGTTCTACCTGAGTATTTTACATGGTATCCTGTTTATATACCTTTCAGACGTAAATATTGTACTTTTTACTGCACAGCTTTAGCGTAGACATATGATCAGCCTACAGAATATGTGGCATTGTTATAGATCGAACTATTAACGGATAAAGTTGTCTAAATGACCTCCGCCAACTTCAACATTAAAATTGCGTTTAAAATAGCACTTCTACTTTTGATACTTTAAGTCCATTTGGTGCCGCAGTCTCTGTTAATTCAGGACTTTTACTTTTAAGAAAGTACTTTTATATTATGTTATTGTAACTTCTACTAATGGTAAAAAATTATATGAATTCTTGTTTTATCACTGCACCTCAATTATTATATGAATGGACTATACCACATAGTAAAGTCTTATCAGGTTCAATTGGAAAAAAGGTAAGGTGCAGATCTTTTTTTAAGCTCCTTGAGAAAGAAAAATTAAATTGGAACGTGTACTGCAAAGAAGTCTATAATGAGTAATCTAATGATCAATGGCTTCTCTCTTTTAGTATCGACCGCAATTATGGGTTGAGTGTGTTTGTCTGATTCTACACAAAAGCACAACAACAACAAAGTTCCAATAATTGATTTTATGTATTTTATACAGTGGTGGAAGAAGTATTCAGGTGTTTTACTTGAGTAAAAGTACCAGTATCACAATGTTAAAGCACTCCATTACCATTATAAAAATGGCTCCTGTTATATTGTGTTATATAACATTTTACATCATTAATGTCTCAGCAGCATTTTAATGTCGTAGCTGGTGGATGTGAAGCTAATTTTAACTGCTTTATAAAACCTTTGAGTAGTTTATTCCGTAACAGTTCATCATATTTTTTATGAGATGGTCATATCGTATGTGCATAAAATCTTAATCTGCAAAGTAACTAGTAAGAATATTTCTAGTGACAATATTTCCCTATGAATTATGAGGTAGAACTATACAAGCATACAATGGAAATAGGCCTGACCATGTGAAGTGCAGGTGTCTTTAAATTGTGCAGTGATTGATTAAACGGCCACATTTCAGCTCTGATTTTATATTGTTAAATTTCAGTATTGCAGTATTATTATAAGCGTAAGACCAGACAAATGTATTTTACTGTATGTTATGTTTAAGTTTTAGTCCATATATGTTGATGTAATTTAGGATTAAGCCTATTTTCAGGACAAAGTACTATTTTCTGAATCCTGACAAATTTTTTAAACCCGATTTTTGAATTGCATATGTACGTTTTCTATCCCAAATATTTAATCTCACTCATCCTAATTAAAGTTATATTCCTGAACAGCAGTTTCAAAGCTCTAGTATGCACGTATAACATATTTTTTTATTTATAACTGGGAATATCACACAATCTGAGACAGTTGGTCTGGAATATACTGCAGTTTATTAATTCTAATAGATGTGTTATATTTATTATTAAAAACATCAAGTAAAAATGGCCACATATATACGCAGCAGCAGAAGCAGGAGTCTGGGCTGAACTGAGCAGGACACTGTTGTGCTTTTAATTTCTACTTGGCTGGGGAACAAAAGATAGATCATCCTTGTGCTACACACGTCGTATGTGAAAACGAAGCCACAGACACACTCGAGTGTTAACCTGTCCCTCTGTTAAAGGTTTTAGATAGATACCCTATTCACCATAATGTGAAAGTGCAGCTAGGAATATCAGCAAATTCATATTAGTGCTCTCAAAGAGTAACTGAACACTCCCTGAAAATCTTGTTTTTGCTGACCTCCAGTGGTTCAACTTCTCACCTTTTGCTGCAGTGATGTACAAAGGTACTTCAGGACCCGGTGACATCACTGTCAGGGCGTGGTAACAGGTGTAACAGAGCACATTTCTGACCACACCCAGCAGTGATCCTGAGTGCGGTCAGAGGTTAAACAGGCTTTAAACTGGAATCGTTTAACCAGACAGGGCAGCAAAACACTTCAGTTTACAGTCTGGTGAAACATAATCCTCTGTGCCTTCTTTATAGTGAGGGTACAAATCATATACCTGTGTAATGCTTGAAGGTTATGTATATGAAATTCACTTTGTACTCAAGAATCTCAGACAAAAACAATGGAAGAGAAACAAACAAAACTCAACAAAAGTGACTTTGTTAGCCTTTCTACAGTCTCTGTTGACCCAGAAACAGCCGTCATATCGCTGGCCACCAAACTCCAGAGACAAAAATGGTAATTTACCTCGTATATTATTGTAAGACCATAACAGAATAGATAGAAACTAAATAAAACTCACCAAAACAGTATTTGTTAGTCTTTCCACTGGTCCAACAATCACCAACTCTGCTTCGGTCTGAAATCCTTAATTCATCAACGTGGATTAGAAAACTGCTCCACTTTATCTTTACATAGCAAACAGTCGTTTGCTGCTATATTATTGTTCTAAATCTCATTACATAACCTTTAACCAATGAATGCCTCATGATGCTTTACTGTATGAATGTATGAATTAATGCCTTATGTAGCACAAATTCCTGGTGCTCACCTTTAACAAAACACCCAATCACTACTATTCACACTTAACAGTTCATCAGTGAGGGAATGTTAATTAATTGATATGCACTCAAGTCAACTGCATTTCAGTTGAATAAAAATGTATTTATGTAACTGTATTTTTTTATGTTCATTACGTAACTGTTTGCATCTGACAATGACGTTTCATTAAAACAAGTAACTGCATATTCCTGTATGTACTGTAAGACTTTCAGGAACTTGTCTGAAATAAAGTTACCTAAAATCCGGCTAACTCGACCAAATTAACATTCCCTAACTGATGATCTATTAACTATGAACTAATCACATTAAGTCATAGTGACTTGATCCTTCGTTAATGGTGTGCAACAGGAATTCATAAAACATCCTGCATTAAATCATCATGAGTCATAAATTATTAAAGCATTACTTAAATATACGATTTGTACCCTTATTATAAAAAGTTAGACAAAATGATTTAAACCCAAGGCAGGAAACCAGCTTTGTTGTCCAATGGCCACTTTGTCAGCCAAAAAGATTTTCTAAACAATTTTCTAGCACCAAATGATATTTTGTTACCAAATTAAGTTTCTAGCAAATACACCAGCGGATGGGGGCCGGGTGTTACTTTCCCACCCTGGTAACACCTGATTGATACACAATAAATCTTTAAACAATCTTTCCATCTAAAGAAATTTGAGGTTACTACAATTTCAGTCTATACCTCAATACCATCTAGTGATATTCATGCGCAGGTGAAAATAAAGCGTCTATGCACTGTACCTATTTTAAATGTGAACGATCCCACAATGTGCACAAACAACCGACTTGTCACCTTTCTGCCCCGCAAGACAAATGACCTCTATCTGTTTTAAAATAATTCTGCCTTGGTCCACAGGATATACTATTGTTGACCCCACCTAAAGCATAGTATTGTCATTTAAATGTAGATATAGGCAAGGGTGATTGGAGCTAACACAACAGATTGAAAAAGAGATATTACACATACAGTACACTTTTAACAAAGATCAACATAGAAATAAAAGACGTAAATATCAAGAAATAAACTCCTTCATATGGTAACATAAGATATGACGTAAACTGCAGAACTGAGCCTTGTGAAACTACTTATTTGCCTTAAAAGAAAAGGATCTGCAAAACACTAATTGTGGTGTGGTGGTGATTTACTGAAGGTCTTTGTAAACATTCTCTGTCCTAGGCCTCTGATTCCGATTGATCGGTGGCGACGCAGCCGTTCAGCTCGCCCAGTCCTGTTTGCTCCTGGATGTCGGTCATCTCTCCGACGATGAAGGTTGTCTCCCCTCCTTTGCTGTTGGCCGAGCCGCTGTCCAGCTGCTTGGCCGCCTGATTGGTCAGGGTGGGTTCTTCATCCAGCCTGCTGGAGATGGACCAGTAGAGGTGAGCATCGAGTCTGGCTGCAGCCAATGAGAGCTCTCGTGCGGAGCAGGAGGGCGTGTCCACCTTGGGGGAGGGGGAAACATGATGAAGGTTAGCCCCATTTCCAGAGTTATATTTTAGAAATAGAAAATTATATAGAAAATTGAAACCGCTCTCATAGCTGTACAGTAAATATGAAGCTACGCCCAGCAGTAAGTTCAGTGGTTGTGAATCTTTGGGGCTGGGAGCTACCGTAGGTAGGGTGTGGTGACGCGTTTAGGGTTACGGGAGCAGGGGCTTCAAGTCACTGCTTCCGGCCAAGAAATAGTCCGGCACGTAACCCTGCGTCAAGCCCCACATTGTGTTATTCTTTGGTTTTTGCACGTATTAAATGAGTTAACTGGTGATTTTGTTACCTTTTGACAGAGTTTCCAGTCTTTACACTAAGATAAGCTAACCAGCTGTTGATGCCTCAGCAGGAAAGTGAATGCATATATTTCCCAAAACCATTCCTCTAAATGCTGTAAGTACACCATATTTTCCTCCACCAGCCGCGTCTGTTTCTACAAGTCTTAGAAAATTGTAAGGCTCAGTTTTGTAAAAACCTGCCAGCTTCACTCAACAAGTGACAGAAGTTAAAATGGAACATAACTGGGATACTGACAGTTTTAAAGAGAGGTCAAACACGCAGTCATGGGTGATCAGACGCTCATTGTATTACTGTTTGTGCTCTGGCATAGGTTATAAAATAGCTTTGGTGTGTGGCATTGGTCTATGCTGTGTAGTTGTCCCTACCAAAATAAACATGAAGTAAATACTTAAGTTAAGAGTTCCAGCATTTCCCAGCATGCCTTTCAACAACCCCAAGAGAACAAGTGTGAGAATTCAGCTGCTGGTTATACACGTAGGTGGAGACAGGAATAGGGAGAACAGCAAGAGTTGGTCCAGTTTTCCGTACTCAAAGTCAACTTGCAGTTATATTCTTATCTCTTGTCAGTGGAAGAGCTGCTAAGTTTGCCTCTTCTTATAAAATGACACCAAAGATATCTATGATAATGTTTAAAGTTGAAGCATTTTCTGCTACTAAACTCCATTGTGACAACACTGCTGGTATCTGAACAAGATGCCACATATCCTACTGTATGTCTGTCCTCCTATAGACAGAAATGAGAAAGAAAATTCTGACCCAGAAATATAAGGTACACTCCTGTCACATATTGCCAGTAGCTGTTCTAATAACAGCAAACAAGTGTTTTAGGAGGACAATTTCCTTTAAAAAAAAATAGCAGCCCATAGTTATTTCTCAAGTTTATACATAGTTGGACCCCTGTTTTATAGGATAGCTCAACCAGGTTACCAAATCAAACACCTCGATATTGGCCTGTAGTCTGTCTTCATCACCCCAGCGCCCACAGACGTTACCTCAAACGTGTGATGAAATGCTCCGTAGTCGATGTCAAAGAAGCCCTCTGCCATTAACATCATCGGGCTAAACCGGTGACCCCACAACACCTCCTCCGTTAGATAGGAGCTCCTCGCCTGGCACGTCATCCCTGCACACGCAAACACAAGCGCACTGATGAGCAGATCAATTCTTGCTAACTTAGATACATCACAGAAAACAACTAGGATTGTCTGTGCAACAATTTAATTACTCTTTATTCTCTGCAGCCAAGTTATGAGTGTCGGCTACTGCTTTGTTACTCTCCGCAGCACTCTGACTAAGGGAATCGATATTTGGAGTAGGCAGAGAGGCCACCTTTACCTCATGGAGACGCATCATGAATAGCTCTGATACACTGAATTCCTGCCAAACAGTAAGGGAACAGCTGAGTATATTATCCTCTAAGAATGAGTTTGACATAAGGCAATATGAGACGGGGATAAACCAAACACGGACCCGTCTAAATCCTTCCAGGGTATATAACAAGGCTACTTGTTCCTGCCAGACTCTGTTTGGATTTTGTAGTTTTTCAGATAGATAGTAAGACAAGTACAAGTCAATGCTGCCAACATTAAATAAAAACCATAAACATAACATAGGTGTTAAACTCTGCTTTTAAGTATGTAGTTTCTCCATGTTGCCCAGCTGGTTTGAATGATTTTCCCCATTCAATATACTGTAAATTCAGAGCTCTTAAGTCTGAGTCTGGAGTGTGTTTTGAGCTTCAGAAATGAAAACTGGAATTTGTTTCACATTTTAGCCATTTATCAAGTGTGACTAACAGTGAGTTAGTCCACAAGGCGCCAGTGCCTTGCTTAAGGGCAGATGAGTGTTCACTGACACACACTGGCTGATGTGGGGATGGATACGGTTAGGCTATGCACTGCTAAGACACCTTGTTGCATATGATGTAACACCATTTTAATCTTCTCCTAGTAAAAGACTGCTCCTTTAGTCAACAGTTAGGTGATGAAAACATAAACTATAAGAACACAAAAACATCACTTCACTTCAGTGATTACTGTCCAGTTTTGTTCCCTGTTATATAACGCATTCACTTATATACTTGTATCTAAAAATATGTATATTTCCACTGCAATGACAACATCATAAGCCTCTAAAAGCTTTCCTGAAAGACCGAGAAGAGATGGAGAGCTCTCAGATAAATGATTGCACATCTAAACTCAGACGTCCTGGAAGGTAAATTTCATTTTCTAATGGACAGTTTTGGACAGGGTCTGCTTTCTGTAAAACAGTGATGGTCTTACTGTAATATCAGACGGTTGTATGCATCTACAAGATTCATTTCCTAATGTGCAATTCTTGTTGTTGTAGCCAAACATGCATTTACAACACACAGGCCATTAAAACTTTACAGTTAAATTAAATTGCAACGTATTATTACCCATGCAATCCAACAACAAAATCACCTTCAACCAATCATATAAAATCATTAGTATTAAAATATTGTTATTGGCATTATTTATATAGCCAGAACCTTAATACATTTAATAATTATCATCAGCTTAATATTGCTACATTTATTTTTGTCACTATTTCCAGTGGGTAACCGTGTATTCATTCACTGCACAGTGAGTCTTAGCAGCAACTGGTTTGTCCATCGCCCACTCATTTCATATGCAAACACTGAAATGCATTCCTGTTATTCTTATGTTGTATTTTGTGATTATTTTACCTGCCTTGTGCACAAAACTGCCACATCATTGGATAACTCTTAAGATTGCTTGCCAGTTTACTTGACTGTCCCTAAAGTTCTCACAATCTTTAAATTGAAATAATACTAGTCAGCTGTAGCATGGTTAGCACTAGGGGAAATGATTACCGGGTAATAATTTTGGTGTTTGCTTTCTCATTGCTTCATACATTATTATATTTAACCCATTCCTCACCGGTTGCCTCCACCATTCCTTCCAAGATGACCACAATCTCAAAGTCCTCCTTCTCCAGCTGGGACTGCGACATGTCCCAGAAGGGCGAATGTGTGTCGATCTCGTGGGAGATCACCAGCGGCGAGACCAGGAAGAGACGATCATCGCCTGTCTCGAAGCCCACGCTGATGTCTGTTTGGTCCAGCGGGATGAACTCACCTGAAACAGACAATAAAACACAGGGTGAGGAAAAGGGAAGAGTTTAGTTTAGCTTTTCTCTATAAGTATGCTTTTGCACAGATTACCAGCATAACCATACACACTATAATTATTTGTTATCTTAAAGCAATCGAATACAAAATTGACAAAAAATGATACATTTTCTAATGAAAAAAGTGATTTAAAGACACAAGAGTCTGTATAATTAGGTAGTAGTAGAAGTATTGTAGTTGTCATAGTGGAAGAAGCAGTAATTATATAAGCTCCAGAGGTAGTTTGTCTTATCTTGTTGTCTTACCTTCCTGAGTCTGTTTAGACTTGATGAGCTTGGCCCTCATGTTGGCCCCTACGATGTGGGAGCTCCGAAGGTCGCCCACCCTGAACATCAGACAGAGCTTGTCATCTCTCAAAGAGATGACAGCATGTTTGGAGAACACCAGAGTCTCTGCCCGTTTGTTGGGCTGCGAGATCTTCACAAACATACAGCCAACCTGAACAGAGAGACACAGACTGTGCTCTAAACTCAAAGGCAGGCAGAGTGGGTACAAAAGGCTCAGACATGTGCAATAACTGGAAGTAGGATTATTGAAAAATTCATAACTTATCTTGCTTTTCATAATTAATGCAGACTGTACAGCTGTAAACATTCACTGTGAGTGCTGAATATAAAGAAATCTCGTTCATTATTTTCGATAGAGCTTACTATTTCCAGTTTTCAACATTCAAAAAGCAGCAGTGACACTTGAATTAACCTCAGACTCAATCATTTTGTAATATGCATAGTGAAACAGCCCACGTTTCCATCAGTTGGCATGTTTCCAGGTAGCAGACATGCATAAACATGATTCTGCTTGGACGTCGCAGTGTGGATTTGTCCTCATCAAAAGAGTGCTTACTTTGTGGGAAAAACCGAGCTCCATCAGCACTTTCAAAGTAAATATTCTTTTCCAGGAGGCATACCATCTGCTCGGAATTAGTGTCATTTCGTCCACGTTGTAATATTTTTTTTTTTATTTCATTCAGCTGAACTGACAGCAGGCTTCCTTCTAATCAGACTGACTCAGGTCAAACAGTATTTTTAATCTTTTATTATTTTATTAATCTGAAAGCCAATTTTTTAATACTTTTTCTTTTACCTGACCTCCTGATGTGCTGTAGCAAGGGTTATGTACACAGTTTCTATGTGTTAGACCCAGATCTGCAAACACTACTGACATACAGTGAGTATTAGATAAGTCCTCACCGAGGTCAGCAATAAATCAGTGTCAGTATGGCAAAGACAGGTTTATGTTTCCTGTATTATGGTTTTATCATTATTATAATTAATTATAAATGTGTAAATAAGTCTGCACAAATCACCCTTATATGATTATGTCCTGTAATTTTAGATTTTATAACTAAATATTGAAGCATTTGAGTTAGAATTTCCTCTGTATAATTAATAATAATAAATGTCAAGTTTGATACTCAAAATCTAAATATTGTGTAAAGTCAGGAAGGGGAATAACATATTTTCCTGAATATGATCATTTATAGACTACCATTGATTTATTAATATGATTTCCCGATTTCTCAGTCAGCCCTGGTGCTCACCATGAAGGCATTGACCATTGAGCCCAGTATAGCCTGCAGCAGCAGCAGCATGGTGCCCACTGGACACTGGTCGGTGATGACGCGGTGGCCGTAGCCAATGGTGGTCTCTGTCTCGATGGAGAAGAGGAAGGCCGAGATAAAGCCGTTGACATTATTGACGCATGGCGTCCACGTTTCATCCTCCAGATGGTCCAGATCACCCCTTGGGAAGAAAAGAAGGAGAATGTGTGAGAAAGGGAAGGGGGGAGGGTGACAAAGTGGGTGTCAAGAGGGAAGAAATAGACAGAGAGCGAGAAGATTTATATTTTAGGTACGGAGGTGCAGAAATATATGTATGATGACTCATCTCTCACGTTATATTTACAATCTCCTTTCGGCTAATTCTTATAATGAATAAGCCGTAATCTTATTCCTCATATTAACCATAATTATTAACCTAATGTTCATGTCACTTTTCCTCGATGCTGCAAAAACCTACTTTTCCCATCGTATATATCATCACATACAGAAGTTTCCCTATATCGGCAGGTTTTTTATGGCCATTAAGAGTCTGCAGACTTTCGAAGTACTCACTACACAGGCTAATGCCCCTGATTAACACAGCCCCAGCCAGACAGGGAGAGCTAATTAATGAAAGTGGTGTTAAGTAATTTATATAATCTATGACTTTTATTGACCTGTGTTGGTGACCAAGGAATTGCAGCAACACCGACAGCTCTCTGGCACACCTTAAGGTGGCCTGTAATTGATATAAAGAGGTCACAATTTTACGAGTCGAATACGTTAGCTGATTAGAGCGGGGATCCAGCAGACACATCCTGTGAAGAGGTAACACATCACGATGAACTTTGCTGTAATATTAATACTGCTTTGTCATCCTCTTTTTTGGCTGAATATATATTTTTTGCCTTCATTGCAGAAATGTCTTGCAATGCTGGTACTTAAAAGGTAGCGTTGCCTCATGATTAGTTTATTAAAGGAATGGTTTGTCATTTTGAGAAATATGATTATTTGCTTTTGTTGCAGAGAGTTTGATGAGAAGATCGAGACCACTCTCATGTCTGTCGGTTAAATATGAAGCTACAGCCAGGGGATGGTTAGCTTAGCTTAGCACAAAGACTGGAAACAGGTGGAAACAGCTAGCCTGGGCCTGTCTGGAGGTAAAAGAAATCTGTAGCACCCCTAAAGCTCACTAAGTTATATCTTATATGTTACACTTCAGTTACAGTATTTACCATACAGTAGGGTGACCAGACGTCCCCGATTTTAGTGGACAGTCCCCGATTTGGCCGACCTGTCCCCGGTTAAAGCTGTCCCCGAAAATGTCCCCGATTTGAATGGGGGAGAAAAAAAGTTGCGTATGGATGCACACTCCAGTTTTTATGGTTAAACCATAGGGTTAAACCAGTTTAACTAACGTGCTGACGTTACGTGCGCTGTAAATGGCTTGTGTCGACCGGCTGGTGTCTTTTTGTTTGCGCTGCTCCCACTGTGCTGCGGCACATCCACGCCACAACAGCAGAGCACTCCTCTGCTCGTCTGTGCAGCTGCAGGTGAGTGACGGGGGAGCCAGCTGGAGAGCGCCTCCTTTTTCATTTTATTTTAGGGGCACCGTCCTTACAGGGGGAAGCATGCGTTGCAGGTTGCACTCTATCACAAGGAGTGCACAGCATAAGTGTAAATCCTCTCATGTAATGCTTTGCTGTGAAATATGGCTGAAGTCACGAGTGGAAGTGTGCACATGTTGACAAGCTCCCATGAGTTGATTGAAATAGCTAAAAAAAAAAAAAGAAAAACTATAAATAATAATAATAAGAAGAAGAATCAGAGTCAAATCAGGATCCAAGTTCTTCATATTGGTTAACAGTTTGGAAGGATTAAGGGTAACTTCTTATTGGCTACTCGTTTGCTTTGTCAAAATACATTAACATGTAATTGCCCCTGTTATTCATTTCATAACGATAACGATTAACGATTTTGACCATCGCGCTAAAAAATATCCCCGATTTTCATTTCGGAAATCTGGTCACCTTACCATACAGATGTGAGAGTGTCAATCTTCCCATCGACTTCTCGGCAAGCTAGAAAAAAAGCACATTCCTCTAAATGTCAAACTATTCCTTCAAGGAGGATGAGGAAAGACGAAAGCACACAGCTAAGGAAAACCATGTTCTTGGTAATATACAATGTCTAAAAGTGATCTTGCTCATTGTCATTGGGATTTAGAAACATTACTGTTTAAGCAGAAAGAAAGAAAAGACTCCTCTACTCTATGACTCAGGACTGAAGAGATATAAATTAATAAACTTGTTCCACTCCCTTTGCTCAACAGTCTTACCTACAGTAGGCTATGAGGTACCAGATGGCCCCGAAGAAGAGCCATGTCACAGCGTAGGCCATGACGAAGACGAAGAGCGAGCAGCGCCAGTTGAGGTCCACCAGCGTGGTGAAGATGTCGGTCAGGTAGCGGTAAGTCTCCCGCATGTTACCGTGCTGCACATTGCAGCGACCGTTCTTCTCCACGTAGCGCTGTCTCTTACGCCGAGCCCGGGCTGGTGAAGAGGCGGGGTGATGGAGTATCATGTGGAGAGAGGAGAGAGGAGAAGCGACACAAGTTGGTTACAGAAGTTTGAGTTAGAAATATAGAAATATGTGAGAGGTGGAACAAACATTCAGCTCCAGTTTTGGTCCTTTTCCATGCTTGAAACGAGTTGGTAACACTTCATTTGGATGGGCCGCCTACATATAGTTATTTAGTATTTGTAACATTTGCTTTGCCTGTAGATTTTTAACAGATTATCTATAAAGTATATGTAACAGTTCATGAACATACCGTAACCAAGAGGTTTTTTGTGCATAAACCTAACCAAACTTTTATTTATGAAACATTCGAACAGTTGAATCTCAATTAATAAGCTGCTGAAATGTTACAAATATAAACTATCTGTAGGCGGACTATCCAAATAAAGTGTAACAGACGAGTCTTCACAGGCGTTTTAGTTTCATAACCCTAACTTCCAAGAAACCCCTTCAAAACCCCCTGAGACAACTCCAAAAAGCAATACAGAGCTGCCTTTTAAATTTTTCTGAAAGGTTTTCCTATTTGAAGATACTACTCTGACTGCAGTCAGAGGATACAAGCTGAATAAAGGCACATTGAGAGATTGGAGGATAAACACAGGAAGGTGCCAAGGGGACAAAACTGGGTAGAGAGATGCAGTGTGGCTCAGAGGAAAAATCAGGCTGGTGAAAAAGGGATTACAGAAATGAAAACAGACAGGTGAGGAAAAGAGAGGAGATGAAGTGCGACAGGACAACATCATCAAACGCTCTGAGAAGAAAAGCTACAATATTGGGCTTTAGTTACTGTACAACCCTACAGGGAACTGATGATATTTTTCATGTAAAGAGCCATTTTTTTTACTGAGCATGCAACCATTGCTTGCATTTCTCACTATGTGTTGATATTTTGAAGCAAATTAGTGGCTCTGCTTTGAGAAAGTGACACCAAACTGTAGCTTAAAGCGACAGTTCACCTTCAAAAATTCATGTTTTGTCCTCTTATCTACCATTTATCCATCAAGATTGTTTTGGTGTGAGTTGCAGACTTTGTAGAGATCTGTGGCTTCTCTTTAATATAATGGAACCAGATTGAAATGATGACCCGGCTACTCAAGATACTCCACAGACTGTGCTTGTTGTGAGCAGTTTCATCTAGGAGCTATTTTTCTCTCTGCCACACTAAACCAACCAACCATATTATCACGCAGAAAGAAGCGTGCATTTTATGAGCTCCCTAATGTTAGAGCTCAGGAGGACACCAATAATGTTTACATCCTCGTCCATGAGTGGATGCACAGTTCTCCTTTGAGAAAGACAAGCCGAGTGCCATCTGGTTTCATTATATTCAAGAGAAGGCAGACATAGGGCAGATACATCCAGAACTCTGCAACTACCACCTAAACAATCAATCGTCACACAAAAAGCAATGAATGTCCAATTCAGTTAACAGTGTTTTAGGGTTTAAGGGCTGGTTCTTCCTTTCTCAGAGATGTACAGCGAAGAGGAGAGAAACCAGAGCGAACGAAGAGTTGAGCTGCTGGAGAAGCTTAAAGAATGAAAAATGTGCAAGACTGTCAAAAATCACTGAGGGATGAAGCACTGCAGCGCGGTGCAAATTAGAGTAGATTCACAACTATGTAAGAGAGGTGGGGAGGAGAAAGGGGGTTCAGTCAATACACAGCATGTGTGTGTGTGTGTGTGTGTGTGTGTGTGTGTGTGTGTGTGTGTGTGTGTGTGTGTGTGTGTGGAGGGGAGGGGAGAGAGAAAACGCTGATCCAGACTCAGTCAACAGCTGCCCATCTCTGGAGGAGCTAAACAAATCAGTAATAACGACCTCGCAAGCTTTATTCAGTTTTCTCCATGCTTTAATGAAGTCAATAGAACACATTTATTTCATTACAGAGTCACTCACCCCACCCGAATCGCCCCCTCTCCCTCTCCGGAATGATCTTCTTCCTGGGTTGATTGGCTGTGGCCTCCCGCTCGGCCAGCTTGTTCTGGAACGACCTCTTGACCTTGACCAAGGGTGGAGGGGACGGTGCCGTCTCGGTGGTGACGACGTGGCCCAGCTCCTCCGATAGGTTGAAGACTCCGGTGGAGGCGGTGGCCTCGGTGGCCACCTCCACTTGTTCGCCTTCCCCCTTCTCCTCCACGGGGAGCGAGAGGGAGTCTGGGCGGGTGGGGAAGACCGAGTTCTCCAGCGCCATGGTGTGTGTGTGTGTGTGTGTGTGTGTGTGCAGGTGTATTAGCGTGTTATTGATATCCTCCCTATGGCAGACTCTGTCCAGTGGCAATTGATAGGACCATTTGTTTGCTTGACTGAAGCCTGGAAAACAGGAGAAGCACACAATGATCTGTGACAGTAATTCACTGACAAAAAAAGAAATAGGACCTCAGGAGCGATCCAGCACCTCTGTCCCTTTCATTTCTAATCACTTCTTACATTAATAACAAGGCCTGGAGGTTCTGTGTTGCTTGATGTACAGATTTGACGTTGCCTGTTTCATCATTTCATCCCTTTTAAAGGCAGAAAAAGCCAAACTTGAGGAAGGGAATCACAATATTTGAGGTTGATCTTACATAGGTTTGTAAGTATGTGGCTCTCTTTCTTTCAAATCCTGGAGCACAGTGTGACATACGCACATTAGGGCCACTTTCAATGTTTTGCATGTTTCATAAAGTGCTTTGGGGTATGTGTGTGTTTGGTGTGTGTGTGTGTGTGTGTGTGTGTGTGTTGTATAAGTACATCTGCGGTAAATGTGGTGAATTTATGCTACAGGCCTGCTGATATTTCTTACATAAGTCCCATATAAGTACTAAAAAAAACTGTGGACAGTGAGACACGGTGAGTCTCAGAAAGATGTGCACAGTAAAATGGAGTCCTAGTTCCTCCTGGAGCCTTTGGAGGATGTGCGTCCATTTGGACAATTGGCGGATGGACGCAGGAGGAGAGACTGATGGTGACAGTCAAGATGACGCACTACGCCTGATGGATGGATCAGATATAGGCTCTATTAAAGGGCGTCTGTTAGCCAGCCAATAGGCTACAGAAACCGAGGGGCTAAGCTCAGTGGATTTAATGTCAGACAGCTAGGAATGAACAGAAACCCTTACCTGCTCAGTGTAAGCAACTTGTAGATGTGTAAGACCTTGGATCGGGCAGATGTTTTATCATAAGAAAAACGAAAATCGGGTCCAAGAACGAACCGCGATTGGCTCAGTGACACCCATTTCTGGTGTTTACCAGCGACGCAGCATCAGTCCACTCCTGTTCGCTTCTCCAGGAAAAAAAAAAACAAAGACCACCACGATCCGACCTCGGCATTTACACTCAGTAATGAAAAAGAAGCGATCATCCGCTCAGGGATCAAGCATAAAAATAAAAATATAAAATAAAAAAGCCAGGTTCAAATGATCACGGCGTTTGGAGAACATGTGTCGGGCAGTGGTCGTGCGAAATGGTGGCAACAGGATAACCCGGCAGCACGGAGAGATCCATCATCTGTGCATCTGATGGAGTCGGTCAGGTGTGGAGCCACTGAGCGGCGGAGGATGCTGTCATCAGCCCAGCCCCTATCAACCCCTGCCTGCCTCAGACGCTCCTCATTTCCACAACAGAGGACAGACAGCACTCGTCCCCGTCCCTCTCAGCTGACTGTCAGACCCCCCTTAAAAAAATCTGCACACAGCTCGGGAGATAAGCAAATGTTAAAGGCCTTTTTTTTTTTTTTTTTTTTTTTTTTTTTTTTTAATGACGCAATTACAATGTAATGACATAAACACCTCATTTTTATTTAATGTTTGTAATGCACATTTACCGATGGAATAATTACAGCATAGCTTATTTAGATTTTATTTCTAAATGTGTGACTTTTTTTGGCTCCTCTACAATTAAAAAATAACGCCAGACTCCTTTAAAAAAAAAAAAAAAATTTATTATTAAAATAATAATGTATTCACTATCAAAACAAACTTGTGCAGAAACCCTGCAGTCACTACACTGTCTCATCAATTGTATCAGTGTCTGCATTATAATTAGCGTCGTACTCATGAGCTGCCGTGCTGCCGCCGGCCTGTAGGGGGCGGTATATGTGTTCACCGCCGCCGGGTGAGCAAACCCTCCTTTCCCAAGATGTCGGTGTACGGGCCAGTGGTGAAAATTCACCCCGTCGTTCTCGCCTCTATCTGCGACTCTTACGAGCGGAGAAATGAGGGAGCGAGTCGTGTGATCGGGACCCTGTTGGGTAAGCAGAAACTGGCCGTGTTTGGGGAGCCTCGTTCTGGGGAGAACCCCCCCACCACACACCCCCCGCCCGGTGATGGCTAACCAGCGAGCTAACTTTAGCTCCCCTGCTAACGCATGCTCGCTTGGTTCAGTTGTAGCTCAACCGACATCTGGTTAGCATCACTTGTGAACAGCTGGTTGTCCGTTCAAATGGCAGCACAGATGGAAACTCGGACTGTCTGCCCTCTTTTAGCCCCCTTTCTGCTCCGTTTTGTGCGTCAACGACATGTATTTGGTAGATTTAATCGTTGTTATTGGCGTTGATGTTAGCCGGTGCTTTTAGCTTCTAGCTGGCTAACGAGGCGAGCGGCTTGCTGAGTAATAATGGCTGATTTGTAACGTTTGTCCTCTTCAGGTACCGTCGACAAGCACTCTATTGAGGTGACCAACTGCTTCTCTGTGCCCCACAATGAGTCTGAAGACGAGGTGTGTTGTTAAACTCATTTATTACACAGTAGCTGCGGTAGGTGGGGGCTCACAGGACATCACAGAAATATCAATAATAATATTAAGAAGGTTAAAATAGGTGTTACATTACAATATCTAACAGATGGGAAGTGATATAAGAGTGAAGTGTGTACATTATAATGCAATGTATGCCTATATAGATGATAGAAATATATATATGCTGCACTATATTACAGAATATATATATATATATATATATATATATATATATATATATATAGTTGTATTGATATAAGCAAGGTTAGAATTGCAATGGAAATCATGTAGAATGTAAATATGTCTGGCAAAATAGTGACATTTACCATTGGACAGTTCAAAATGTAATGAATTCCCCTGCAGGACATTTGGTAACACCTGCACAATGCCTGTATAATTCCCACAGATCTCTTGCACAATAAAACATTCCTGTGGGACAGTTTTGGTTGGGAGAGTGGATAGCTGTTGTATATAATTAAAGGAGATTGGTTAAACTTAGTACAGATAATAAGTAGTGAGGGAATTGAACAACCATCCCTGTTTTTAGACATAGATAACAGCTTCGTTTTGCACTGCGAAGAAGAAGTAGATATTTACAAATAAATAACCATGTGTCAAATTGTATCCTAGGTTGCTGTGGACATGGAGTTCGCCAAGAACATGTACGAGCTCCACAAGAGGGTGTCACCCACAGAGGTCATCATCGGATGGTGCGTCAGTCAATAAAATGTGGAATTTCGAAGATTAAATCGGGAGGGGAAACTTTTTCTCACTACAGTGCATTTGTCCTCACAGGTATGCTACAGGCTTCGACATCACAGAACACTCGGTGCTCATTCACGAGTACTACAGCCGCGAGGCGTCCAACCCCATTCACCTGACCATGGACACAGCACTGCAGAGTGGCAAGATGAACATCCGCGCCTACGTCAGGTTGGCTGCTCTTTCCTGTCATATATACACTTGTTTTTGTGATCAACTGTAGACTGACTGTGTGCTTTGTGTATCTCCTACACAGTGCGCAGATGGGTGTGCCAGGAAAGACTGTCGGTGTGATGTTCACCCCACTGACTGTCAAGTATATCTACTATGACACTGAAAGGATAGGCGGTAAGATTACACAGAATAAATTAAGACTGTTTGGAAACAAATGCTTCCTGATTTAAATGTCTGTGATAATGAGATTGTTTTAGTAGCTCTGTCTCAGTAGTTGTAGTACTACACTGTAACAAACCCCTTTGTTTGTTGCAGTGGAACTTCTACAGAGGACACGTGTACTTCCAAGCCGCACCAAGGGGCTGACTTCTGACCTGTCCCAGGTGGCTGGCTCTGCAGCCAAAGTACAGGACATGCTGGCCACCGTGCTTGCATACATTGAGGATGTGCTCGTGAGTATTAGAGCAACTAGACATAATGTTGTGACTCTCATCAGATGATGATGATCAGATTAGGCTGTTGTTTCCATGTAAGCAACACCTCCAGCTTGTTGTTTTCCAGGGTCATTTTCCCACTGAGGGTGCTCTGCCGGCCGATATTTACTCCAATTAATTTGATCACAATCTCTATAAACGGCGTTCAGAAGAGCCGATCAGTTGACGCAGTTATTTTACCCCACAGGAAGATTATTCAGTGTTTGACGCACACATTAATTTACTTGGGCGGGCCGCCGGTATGTTAACATCCAGGGACTCTCATTAGTATTTTGCAGAGAAACGAAGAGAAAGAGACGTTATCTGGTGGATGTTTTACACGCACATCCTCATTAATGTGTCTCAGAACTCAAGTTGTGTTTCTTGGGCAACTTTATAAAGCTTACTGCTGTCCAACAAAGTAACAGAGCAGACACGTACAGCCTGTATATGCAGAGAGGAGCAGAGAGGGGCGGGCTGGGGCAGCCTGTATGTGTGTGAGGCAGAGGTGTAGTTGTGTGCGTACGCTATAAAAACAAGGCTTTAAATAGACCCGGTGATCGACTGCTTCAGTGATCCCGATCGTAGCACCCTTAATTCCCCCGCCACTGCCACTCTGTCTCGCTCTGCTGTGCCTCCAGAGATAGTTTGTGTAAGTAATCACTGATAGTGGCTATAAAGGTAATGCTGTGCCATCTGTCTCAGTCTGGCAAAGCGACAGCGGATAACAGCGTGGGCCGCTTCCTGATGGACCTGGTCAACAAGGTGCCCACAATCTCCGCCGAGGACTTCGAGAACATGCTCAATTCCAACATCAACGTAAGTGCTCCTCGTCAGCTAGAAACCACAGCGCGTATGTTATTTAATCATCCAAACAAGTTTTCTAATCACTGCTGATGGTTGTTTTTTTTTTTTCTTCATTGGATTCAGTGCGCCTCCTTCAGCATTCCATTCATTATTTGCTTGATGCACTCAGGCTTGTTCTCTGCACATTAGCCGGTCCCATTGATTACAGGAAACATTTAATTAGACTTTACATCCTATTTTTAGTGCTCTCCTGGCTCCTCTTGTCTCATACTTCTTTGCGTAGCACTTAGCACACAGGATACACAGTCGTAAGAGTAGTTGGTGCATCTTTACTCAGGGATCTGTCTTTCATATCACAGTCCTTCACTAATTGTTGAATGTTCGAAGACTCTTTGTACCTCACTATGAATAAGTAATAACTAATTGTTTTGTAATTGCAGGATCTGTTGATGGTGACCTACCTGTCTAACCTCACCCAAGCACAGATTGCTCTAAATGAGAAGCTGGTGCTGCTCTGAGGCGATTTCTTCAAAGTGATTCATATTTAATTTTTGTATACTTTTTTTTTTTTTTTTTTTTCTGGCTGAGATGAATAAAGATGTTAAACAGTCACACATTGTTCAAATATTTGCTTCCAGACATTGTCCTTTATTGAAATACTGATTGCTAACATACTGTATTAAACAGCTGGTATTTACCATTGTTAACGCCTCATGGTGCAGACTTTATGATGTAGTAATTAAAAATGTTGATTTCAGGGCTGCTTGGCTGATAATTAGTTTAGTTATTTAAATTGTTTTGTTTTTTGACAACCCAAATACATTCAGTTTACCACAATGTAAGACAAAGGAAGCTGCCTGTAAGACAGTTGATTTTTTTTTTATTAATTCTCTACATAAATATACATTCAAATCAGACGCAGCGGTTAAAGTCAAGTGGCAGAGCCCTTGTGACAGGCCATGCCCGGCCTGAGTTACATGTGAAGCAATAGTGCAAAAAGTGGGCATGAGAAAGTCACACGCATTTAAATCCTGTCTTGGTAGCACATGTCAATCAATCTAAAGTATCGGGAAATGTTGATTTATTATTGCTTTGTTGTAAGAACCACACTGAGGGACTCCTTTTTTAGGGTTTGGTGTCTGAGTCGGGGCTCTTCTCGGCTTTGCTCTGGGGCTTCACCATCTTCTCCACGGCTGCGTAGCTCCGCACGGCTCGGTCGTACACGGAGTCTCCGGTTGACTTTGCGATGGCCGCAGCCTGCTCCGGGTAGTAGAGGGAGGCGCTCACGGTCACCAGGCCCGCCGGGTAGAGGAGCCTCTTAATCCGGGAGCCTCTGGCCAGAAAGAGCCCCAGGATACCGGTGAAGCCGATAACTCCCGCCCGGGGGTAGAAGTCCTTCGGCGGGTCCTTCAAGTAGCTGTAGGTGTCGTTCCCGAACCGGACGGCTCTCTGAACTTTGGGTTTAATATGGTTGTACGTGCCCCGACACCAGTCCGTGTACGGCTCCAATAACTTCCTGAGGGTGGCGACACTCTCCTCCAGCTGACCCGCTTCAGGCTCCACATACCGGCTCTCCTGCCGGGGAGCGGCGGTGTACAGAGACAGCTCATCCCGGAGCAACGGGGCGGTCTCCTCCTTCACTGCGTCTCCGTCACCGGCAGCGGCGAAGACGGTGGTCGGCAACAGATTCAGCACACCCAGCATGGCACCACTACCTGTCACCTTCAACATGATCCCTGCGGGCCATGCGTGCAACTACGGGGTCCGAGGAGGGACATTACCTGCCACACTCGAAGCGATAATCGCGCCACCTCTCAGCTGACTTTGGACAAATGTTTTTTTTATTAAGCTTCAAAGCACAAACATCAACAACAATTTATTATATATAAGTATTTTGGATAGTCTTTTATTTATAAGTGACTACAGATAAATGATGATATTGTTGTTTCATTATAGGTAATTTAATAAGTATAATAATAACAAGTATCTCCCCCCCCCATTTTATGCGACTTGATAGCCTTCTTGTATTTTACTACATTGAATTTATTTGACAGCTACTTTGCGAATTAAGTTTTTAAACATGACCAAACATGATCTCGGTTTAATATATGGATATATAATATATAGATTTACCTTCCTAAAATGTTGCAACACTTTAATGCATCAATAATAATATTATGATTATATATAATAATATGATTATATATAATAATGCATCAGTAATAATAATATGATTATATATAATAATGCATCAGTAATAATATTATGATTATATATAATAATGCATCAGTAATAATATTATGATTATATATAATAATATGATTATATATAATAATGCATCAGTAATAATATTATGGTTATATATAATAATATGGTTATATATAATAATGCATCAGTAATAATATTATGATTATATATAATAATATGATTATATATAATAATGCATCAGTAATAATATTATGATTATATATAATAATGCATCAGTAATAATATTATGATTATATATAATAATATGATTATATATAATAATGCATCAGTAATAATATTATGATTATATATAATAATGCATCAGTAATAATATTATGATTATATATAATAATGCATCAGTAATAATATTATGATTATATATAATAATATGGTTATATATAATAATGCATCAGTAATAATATTATGGTTATATATAATAATATGGTTATATATAATAATGCAATACTTTGAGATGTACTTTTTCAATAACACTTATGTATCCTACATTTATTTATTTATTGAATCAGAACTTTTACTTAAATAGTGCAGGTTTTAATTGATTTATTATTTGTTGAGTCATTTATTAATACATTTGCCTTCATTCACGTGACCCCACCAACGGAAGTTAGATTTTCTTTCTTCCTCTTTTGTCTGTTAATAACATCGCTGTGACCTGTATTCAGTTTAACGCCCTTGTTTTTAATATTATCTTTTATTTATCACATTCATTCATTCATTCATTCATACATTTATTTATTTATTCATTTATTTATTTTCTTTTTCCGTCTGTGACGTCACTGGTTCCCATGGCAGCCGGAAAGCTCGGTCGTCTCCACGGAAACGGAAAGCGTCAACAGCCAGCGAGTCCACAGGTTTTCGACTCCATTTGGCTTCATATTCAGGCTTATTCTGGGTTTTATTGGGTCGTTTTTTCCACATTTGTAGGCTCCCTGTTCCGGGTTGGGGAGAGAAGTTTATGTTGCTTTTATTTGGTATTTAAAAAAAACGTCGTAAGTTTGTGGCATTCTGAATGGAGAGTCTGGGAGTGTCATCCCTCCAGAACCTGCAGGCTCTGTCTGCCCTGTTATCAACTCAGCAGGAGGATGGTGATGATGATGATGATGAAGAGTGTAAAGTAAGATATTGCACACTCAGAGGTGAAGTGATCCCCACTTAGTCTGCCCAGATGTTATATCATTTAGTCCACTCTGACTTAATGCCATGGAGCTGCTAATAGGCTGCATGTTGAAACAGATTTGACTGTATATTGATGATTGCCTTATCATAACTGCAGATTTATTGACTGGACGCTTACAAAAACATAAACTACTCTCAACAGAATGTGGCAGCTTGTGCACGACTGGATCCTGGACACATTGGCCCCCCACCCAGAAAAGATAAAGAAGGTAATGCCTTGTATTTCTTGCACATAACTGCAAAGTCATTATATTATCCCCTGGGGCCCTTCTGAAAGGTACAAACTGTGCATATGTGTGTGTGTGTGTGTGTGTGTCGCTGTTTATTTAGTGTCAACTGCCTATGTGAAGAAGAACAACAAAGATATCTGGAGCGTGGAAGAGGTGGCGGAGGGTTCACAGTATGATGATCTCGCTGACCTGCGGCCACAGCCTGAGTAAGACCACCGAGCAGACAGAAAAACACACACCAAAGGGTTCACTGATGTTTAAAGGAGTCAAAAAGAAAAAAGAAAAGGCTGAATCCTCACTTCTTTTTGAGCTTTAAAAACCCAAAAGCCACACTGTCCAATATAAGGGTTTAGCTCAAAACTTTCTAATTATGAAACTTTGTTCCACTTTTTTTTTTTTTTTACAAAAACAAGCCAGGTCTTTAATTATTATGAATCATTGGCATAGTTACCCTTGTGCTATATATTAATTATAGAGGTACAAGGGAGGGCGAGCCTGCCCGTAGAAAAGTATTTATCACAATTAGATACCACATTTTCCACCGTCCATTGACCTCAGCTGACACTCACTCCTGCTTCTTTCTGTTCTTTGTTGTTCCCTATCGATTCTGTCTAATGTGATGTCAGATGAGGATTTTAAAGAGATTAATACTGTATTGATTGTATTTTCTGTGTGTGTGTGTGTGTGTGTGTAAAACCTTTGTATTCAGGTATGAAATAATCCTGAAGCAGAGCGTGGGGACAGAGGATCTGTTCTTGGGCTTGAACAGAAAGGACCCATCCTCCATGTGCTGTGAAGCCATGCTGGTAACTTAACCACTACGTGTTCATACTTCACTCAATGTACTGTAAAAATGAAATGTACAAGGATGTGATCGGGGGACAGCAGCATCAGACAAGAGAGCAGGATCCATTGCCTAAGTGTGTGCTGGTTTTCAGAGAATTTATTTTAAGTAGTAGATGATTTCAGATTCAATGAAGCTAATATACATATTGAAATAATTTGTGGACAGTATAAAAATGTTAAGGTACATTACTACTATTACAATTCTGTCTTTTATACCATACAGTGACAAGACGAAATTAATGTACCATAAAAGCCTCAGACTTTTTTCTGACCCAGCATGAGAAGTGAGAAGACATATTAACAATACTGATAAAGTGACATAAGATAACTCAGTACAAGTGGGAAAATCTGTATCTTTTTAAATAAAAGTGAAGATTAAATTGTGCACAGTGTACAGTATTAAAGATGCTGCCTCTTTTTTTTAGGTGAAAATCAAACTACCGGACACTAAAGCAACAGATGTGGTCCTGGATGTAAAGGAAAAGTTCCTTGATCTTCGTACGCCGAAATAGTAAGGGGATGCTTTGAAAATGTTCTCTTTCATTTTGAATCCCCTGAAGACGGCGCGGCAGCAGTTCAGACCAAAAAGCTCCCATTTACAGACATTTTCTTTTAATCAGAGGTTCGCATCGTGATCTGAGCTTTGATTGCCGTTTCATGCCGCTCTTAACTCCTCTCTCACATGCACGCTCTCTGCCTTGTGCTGTCTCTGGTATGTTTAATCTGTCGTCTCTCCTCTCCTCTCCTCAGTAAACTGGGTCTTCATCTACCGCATCCCATCCACAGCCACAAGGGAAAGGCTCAGTTCTTCAGTGAGAGGGAGGAACTGGAGGTGACTCTACTGATGAAACGCCCCATGGATTTGATCAATATGCAGTAAGAAAGAATGACAACAGCCGACAAGTATTCAGAAGACAAAGAGTAGATCCGAATCCAGTGTACAGAAGAGATGACACTTTCTCTTTAAAGAAATGGTAGAGAAGTAATCAGCATACCTTGTTCTTTTTCTGTCATTTATGTAATGTGAATGTAAATGTAATGCTATTTTTAAATCTGTCCCCATTAATTCTGTATTAAAATATGACTTTCTAATACATATTTTGTCTTTTTTTTATGTGATTGCTTTATTATTGAATAACCAAATGGTTGTAGATGGTAAACCAAGGTAAGCTTTACCCCTCATTATAGGCTGATGCTGTTATTATGGCTGATATAATCGTAATATACATGATAGCTTCAATCAGAAACTGATATTTACAGTAATGGGCATTTAAGGCATTTACTAAAGGATTGGTTAGTGTGTTTAATGAAACATTCACATGTATATGAATGCTGAAAGTTATTGGTGACTGTAATCCTTGCTTGTCTTTGGGAAGATGCCCACTTGATTTGGCTCATTAACTTTGGCCGAACTATAGGCTCAGGCTGCGTTCTGGCCCAAAAGAGAGCTGTCGGTTTCGTACTTCATCGTTTAACACTGTTGTCACACTAGAAATAGATTGTTTCAGGGCCTAAAAAGACAGCAGCAAGTTAAATTGAATTCAAAAACACTTTATTTTGCCCCTTCAATGCAATTTTAGGCTAACTGGTTGCAAAACAAAACAAATGCATTCACACCTGAAACACAATCTAAAGACTGAAAGAAATAAATGAGTAAATACATGATTACAGTCTGCACAACTCTTTGCACAAACTACACCTTGCAGTAATTCCACATGTACAGTTTAGTTATACACTGTTTAAAATATTTTTGCATATTTCTAACCGCATAATAGTGTTTATATTTTGCATTATGGTCTTTATATTTTCTATTATATCTTTATGATATTTTTATTTATATTATTCTTAGTTAGCAAGGTGCTCTAAACATTTCTGGAATTCTGAGCTCCAAAAACTGTGGAACGAAAAATAGCTGAAAAGAACTTTCTTCGATGTAATGATCCAGTAAGTAACTGAGAGAAAATTACAGGCAAGCACAGTTTATATTTGATAAAAAATGAAAATTTGAAAAATTTTGATTGGGTAAATAGAAATCTGCTTGTCTTAAAACTTTTAAAAGGAGGTGTGGATGGTAAATTCTATCAAGCTCTAAAGTCACTGTATAGTTCCTCAGTTGCATGTGTTCAGGTAAATGATCTTCAAACTGACTGGTTTAAAACCCCCTTTGGTGTTAAACAGGGTGATGTCCTGTCCCATACCTTGTTTTCTCTTTATATAAATGACCTGGCTTTTGAAATCAAGAATGCTAATTTAGGTATACATTTGAATGATTTAACTGTGGGTATTTTGTTGTACGCGGATGATATTGCTCTGCTGGCTGAATCGGAGGATGATTTACAGAATATGCTAAACTTAGTACAGACCTGGTGTTGTAGATGGAGGCTGTCCATAAATCAGAGTAAACAGATAATTCATTTTAGAAAAAAAGGTGTCCCAAGAAGTGAGAAAATCTTTACTTTTTCTGATATGCCATTAGAAAATACATCTGTTTATAAATATTTAGGATTTCCACTTGATGAATTTATGAATTATGAAAATGGAATTAAACTCCCGGCTGATTCAGCTGGAAGAGCTCTGGTTTCCGTTGTTAACAAGTAAAAAATATGTAAAGACCTTGGTTATTCTTCTTACACTCAATTGTATGATGCATGTGTTTCTCCCATTGTGAACTATGCTGCTGGGGTATGGGGATTTAAAGAAAGAAGGATTTCAGTACAAAACAGAGCTATACGTTGTTTTCTGGGTATTCATAAATATGTTCCCTCTTTGGCTGCTCAGGGTGACATGGGCTGGATTCCTGGTACAATAAGGAGAAAGTGTGATATGATTAGACTGTGGAATCGTTTTATTAATATGTCAGATGACAGGATCAGTAAGAAAGTTTTCCTTTGGAGTAAAGTTCAGAACTCTCCATGGGCCGCAGAGATTCATGCTGTCTTTGAAGAAGCTGATTTTCAGTACAGCTATAGAAATAATTTATCATGCAGCATAAACAAAATTAGAAAAGAGTTACTTGTCGGGTTCAATGAAAAATGGTTAAATGATATAATGATAAAACCGAAATTACGGACATATGTTCAAATCAAGCATGAAACAGAATTATACGTTAAAACAAATTTACTAAGAAATCAGAGATCCTTGATTGCCCAATTAAGAATGGGAATCCTTCCCCTGGCACTTGAGGTTGGCAGATTTAAAAATATCCCAGAAGAACAGAGACTTTGTGATTTACGAGAAGTGGAGAATGAATCTAATTTTCTTTTATACTGTCCCTTCTATGATGAACTGAGAGTACCTGTTGTAAATGAACTGTTTGCTCAAAACCCTGAAATATTTTGGAGTAATGATGATGTTAGGATGGAATGTTTGTTTACCTTTAATGTTTATAAGTTAGCCTCTTATAAAGCCTGGATGAAACGTCAGGATGATTTATATCGTTAATGTTAATATTGTTTAGCATCTACTTTTGGTTTTTGGTCTGTTTATGTTTTATAATGGTGTCTTGTAAGCCCTTGTGGGCTGGGCATGCTAATGCATCACACAATAATAATAAAACAATTCAAATTCAAAGAAAAATATATTCTTTACTGTATTTTTACACTTCTGTACTTTCTGCACTATATTTCCTCTGTGTCAAAACCCAATTTCTCCCAGAGGGGATCAATAAAGGAACATCTCCCATCTCTCTCTCTTATCTCTCTTCAACATACTTACCATGTATTAAGATAGACTTAGTTACAATAGAAAAATACTTTTTTTTTTATTATTATTGCTTCTGTGAAGGTATAGGCTATATTATCTATCTTGTAACTGTTTCGGGACAGCAACATCTTAATGTTTGAGAATAATATCTGCTTCAGTGTAAATAAGGCAATAATGGGAAACAGTAAAAGTCTGGATGTTAAAATGTTAATGCAAAAAAGATCCCTGGATACAAAAAGTAACTAAATGTAACTTAAATTAGTGACTGAGCTGAAATTAAAGTTGCATACTGCCACTATACTAGAGGAAAAATAGTGTTGTTGGAGAAACAATAAACACATTATTTCACAGGTGCATTAACACCTATGTAGGGTATCAGGGGAGGAGGAGGAGGAGGAGAGGAGGAGGAGGAGGAGGAGGAGGGTATCCCTGGGAGTGCGGGGCCACACCCCCGAGCATCGTTACCGCAGCAGCCCCAGCGGTGGTGTGATCATGTGACGCCTGCGTTTCCGACACAACAATACAACAACCGTATCGGTCTGCATTCACGCTCCCACTCTCTCCCCCCCCACCCCGCCCCTTACGCCTCGCTCTCGGTATGGCGGACGGTGAGAGGTCCCCGCTACTATCGGATCTGGGAGATGGTGCTCTTGGCAGCGGTAACGGCGGGGTGTCTCCCGGCGCAGCGCCCTACGGTGCGCCCAACAAACCACAGAGTGAGTATCCATGGTGCTCTCTCCTCTTCCTCTCTCCCTCCTCTTCCTCTCTCTCTCTCTCTCTCTCTCCTCCAGCCTGAGTTAGCCTAGCTCTAGCGTTAGCCTGCTAGCTCATCTGTGACAGTGTTAAATGCACCGTAAGCTTCCGGACCAGTCCTTTATGAGCATTTTGTAAATGTGCTGTTGTTGCAATCACGACGTGAAGCTGATGGGGGAGGGAGGGGGAGGGGGGAGGGGGAGGGGGAGGGAGGGAGGAGGTCAGGGTTGCGCTAGCTGGCTAACCTAGCAAACCATTATGTTAGCTTGGTAGCTAGCTCCCCCCCCCCCCTACACACACACACACACACACACACACACACAAAGCGCCCTGTGTGCAGCTCAGTGACATTATGGCTGACATGTGTTTTCCTCACGCTTCATAAACACACATTGCTGCATGTGTTTGAACCGACCAGCGGGCCCCAGCGCACTCACAGGCTCCACAAACTGCACCGCCTAGCCGGCTAGCGTCTGAGAAACACCTGATTTGATTGACACATGAGGAAAGCCACTACGGAGGCTGCGGAGGGATGCTGCAAGAGAGAGCTGTTACCAATGGCAGCTCACATAGGGAGGGGACTGTGTCTTAAGGCCATTAATGGGGAGGGGGGAAGAGATATGGCTCCTAATTATGTTTTTGCTCCCACAATGTGCTTCTAGAAAGGTACAGTGTTGTGTGTTGTTGCTGTGTGTTGTTGCTGTGTGTTGTTGCTGTGTGTTGTTGCTGTGTGTTGTTGCTGTGTGTTGCAGCTGTGTGTTGCATCTGCTCTCTCCATCAAACTGTCCCATTTTACTGACTCACATCCTTCTCTTGAGTTCTCTTCCAGTCGCTCACGGATACTTATAGTCTCTTTATTTGTTGAAAACTAACCCCCCCCCGCTCCACATTCTCCTCTAAAGCTCCTTTCAGTTGAACCTCGGGACCAAATCTTATTATCTTGTTAATCTTAACGTAAGAGGTCACTTGTCATGGGAATTGAGGCTTTTTTTTTTTCAGTTCCGTTGTGCAACTCTTGTGACCGTGTTCCCTCAACAATTCACCCCTCTGCCACTGGTTGTACTACTTTTTGTATTCACAGTCCCACTTCCCTTCCTTTCTCTCCCGCCCTGTGCAGACTTCCCTCCGTTCCCCAGCCCGACTCAGCCCTCGGTGCTCCTAGGGGAGGACCCTCCGCCCTACTCCCCTCTCACCTCCCCGGAGAGTGGCAGCGCCCCTGTTATCAGCTGCAGGGTGTGTCAGAGTCTGATCTCTGTGGAGGGCAAGATCCACCAGCACGTGGTGAAGTGCGGGGTTTGCAATGAAGCTACGGTAGGTTTTCTGGAGGCGTCTGTACAGCATCAACATCTCAGTTTATATATACTGTCTGTATTTGCCTCACACACATAATACTTGACCAGTAGCCTCCTTTTTAAAGGGTGGTTTCACACAGTGTACAAAAAAAAAACGTCTGGTGGTGTCTACACACACAGTCGTTATTGTTTTATTTAAACCAGGTTTTGACAGATGTGTCTCTAAGGTTTCTGACCCCACAGGGATACAGTGGAGGTGAATGTAATTTCTGTCTTTGGTGCTCAAAGCATTGGATTTTAAGCAGCATCTGTTTCCAGATAATCCACAGAGCTCACAGTGAGGTCAC